GAGTGTGTGCGTGTGTGTGTTGGCGGCTGTCATGGGCGGAGTTGATTAGTACTGCCTGCGCCGCCTTGCGCCTACCCCGCTACCCTCTGCACTTTGTTCATTAAGACTGAACAGCACCCATGTCCGCCCCCAGCTCAGCTCCCTGACACATGGAATACATCTGTAGGAACCCCCCACTTCCTCCCCACTGCAGCCGGCCCTCAGATGAAGTCACATCCCAGAGCGGACTCCACACAGGACTGCACCCGTTTGCTTACACATCTGCCTTCTTCTAAATATTTTGGTACTTGCTATCACTCTCGACCACAAGATTACCCCTACGAGTGCGCGCACACACACACACACACACACAGCACAACTTTGCACAGTGCAAACTCCCTTGAGCTTCGCCTCCCGACGGCACCGCCACATCTAGCTCCACCCTTATCTGCCTCCTTGGCCAAATGGAACGTCTCAGGAGAACGTCAGAGCGAGCCGCGGCTCCAAGAAAGGGCCGACCGCTCAAAGTCAGGCGGTCACTTTGCGGTGAGGTGTGTTCACGCGGGCCGGGGGAGGAAGATAGCGAAAAGGTGGCGTGAAGAGCCCCCTGTTGGCCAGACACAGGTACTGCAGCAAGCCAGGAACAAGGAAGGGAGCGGGGCGGCCAGCAGAGAAAAGTTTAAGCCATGCGCTTCTCAGAGAAGTCACGTCCCTTCTGTCTGGTTGCCCGCAGCAACCAGACATGATGTCATAGCCAGTTGAACTTGAACTTGAAGGGGAGGGAGGTGGCAAGAAAAGAGGATGGTCACTATTGCCAAGGATTACAGTCAGAGTGACGGAGAGAGAGGGGGAGCTGGCTGGGAGGGGGGGCTCTCACTAGGAGGGGGGGCTCTCAGAGTCCATGGACCGCATGCGGCTGGGTGTGAGAAGCAAACTTTTTTTTTGTGACCTACAAGATTCAAACTAAACAAAAGCTTGCTTCCCCAAATTAGCAGGGTTTCCAAGAGCTGACTTCCAGAATGTTGCTTTGTGCCAAATCTGCTCCGCTCAGCTGCCTTTTCATGCGGGGAAATGGATAAGCTCAGCCCTTAACGGGGTGTGACCCGGTAATTTGCCTCACAAGGCACCAGGGGTAGTGAGCAATGCCGATTCGTTTGGGGACACCAGAAGTTAAAATTCTTTGTCAACACATGCAAAATGTAATTTTAGGGTCATCAAATTTTACATATTGTTGTAAAAAACTATAGCCTGTAAAATATTTGGGTTGAATTCTTTCACTTAGGCAGTAGGAGGTTCTCCTTCAGTTTTACGTGTTGGCTTTGACTCGGGGGAGCCCTCTGCTGGCCAGAAATTGTATGGCCGAGTCAACTGTGATTTTATCATTTCAACTGTGATTGGAGAAATGATGCTTCAACACCCAGAGAGGGTGGTAATATCTTGTTCTGTTAATCATTGTGATTGACAGTACCAGTTAATCCCAGCCCCTGTGGGTTTTCAAGTCTCATTGCATTCTGCCATCTATGCATTTAAGCCCAGTTTAAATCAAAGAATAGGAGTCAACCTTAAGTAATTGATCCAGTATTACTGCATATTGCAAGCGAGGATTTTTCTAGGCGGGCACTTATATTGTGTGGCTGGGAAAATATGACACTTTTACTATTGCTGTTTACAGTGTGATTCTGTTGCATCGAATACATCTTAATAGATTGTTTTTTATTTTTTGTTTTACAGTCTTGGTTCCTCTGACAAGACCTATTTGAAAGAGAAAAAATCGCAAAATTCTGAAATCTGGATAGAAGAAAATGCAACTTAAAAAAAACAATTTACAGGAAATTTCCCTCACACCACTCAAAACCCGATGAAAATGGAAAACGTGATTTTTAACAGGAAAACAATCACAAAAACGCAGAGGAAAAAAATGTTCTTGGAGTTTGAAACACGCAAGTTCCAGCGGGGAAGAGGAGAATGAGGAGAGCAACAGGAGGAACAGCCCAAACTTTTCTTTTTTTCTGTTCAAGCGATAATGCATCGATGGCAGAGATTCCTCGGAGCCCTGAAGCACAAACGAGCAAACATATCGATTTCGGGGGCGGATGCTTTATCAGTAGAACGGCTTGAGGTAGAGGAATGTGAAAGTGCTTCCAAGTGAACACTGTTCAGGCCGGTTTTGGCAAACGCACCACCATAATTCAGCGCTGCGCACCATGGTGGGCCACGTCGGGTTTGACCTCACTGCCGATTCACGAAAGTCCAGCAGAGTTAGTTACAGGTACTCTGATTGGATGAACCAGCCGTGGCGGCACAGCCAGCTGCAACCTCATTGGCCCCCACTGAGCTGCCAGACACCGACTGGCTGAAATGAGTACCAAGCGCTACTAATAACACAAAATGGAATTAATTAACACTAAAAGTGTGCTGTCGCACCACATCAGAGCACTTGTGGGGTAATTGAGGAATATGACCAGGTTGCGCATTCTCCAGAACCAATAACGTAGCAGGAATCCGGTGCAATGAATCATGACAACAGCCAGACTAGGCTTTCAGTAACGCCTCCGATGGTAACACGCCCGCCCCGAGCCCCGAGCCCCGAAAGAGTACATGATCAATAGGAAAGACCACCCCCAACATGTGGGACCAGCCAGCACACAGATATAAACCCGCCCCAGCACAGTCTAATCGAGGTACGATATGTTACGATAAAAAGACGGGAAGAGACACTAGGTTCGCGAGTCCAAGGCTTTCCTCCACCTTTCAGTCTTTGTGCCAGAAGTCTCCAGCCTCGCCAAGGCAGACGACACGGTTAACACGGCATTTATCTTCATGCCCTCGGCCGAACGTGAGCGGTCGGGTGCCTCCGTGAGCCGAGCTGTAGCTGCGCCTGAGCTGCGTTATGTGCTGACGTCCGAGCCCCAGTACCACCACAGGAACGGCGTTTTCCTCCTCGCCCAACGCTCGGCTGCGTGCCGCTTTTTTTCTTTTCTTTTATTCAGTTGCTTCAATTCAATCGTGTTGCTGTCAGCAATCCATGGTTTAACCGTCAGTAATTAGCACAGGTGCTCATCTCAGACTCTGCCCAAACAGGCGAAGGGAGCGTGCCCCCTAAGGTGGAAGGGGTGTGTCCCACAGTGCTGACCAGCATTGGCCACTCACATTAAACAACACTGCCTTGACCTTGTCAAGCAGTGAGTGGCTTGGAAAAGGGGAGAGGTTCACAAACCCCACGTCTCCCGGAATTTACGTGAATGTTTACATCCACACACTCCTGTGGGAGGCGCTGTGGTGCTTAAGAGCTGGATCCAGCTTCTGTAAAAAAGCAAAGATGAACTGCAGGATTGTCCTTGTCACCGTATTGTGCCCTGCCCCAGGACATTCAACCCCTTCCCCCAGGGGTGTCCTCGCCAGTTTATAAATGATCACCTCCGCCCACCCAGATTTGTACACATTCCCCTTTAAAGTTACTGCAGCCCTTTTTTCCACCAATGTCAATTAGATTCCTTTCGCTGTTGCTCTCAGAGGGAGGGGGCGTGTCGTCCCTAAGCTCCGCCTCTTCTCTCCTCCCATTCCTTCCCTTAGCTTCAGCTCCAACCAGCCTTCCACCGCAGAACACAATCTCTCACAGACACAGCTACCACCAGCAATCCCATGCATCCATGTAACCGCCATGCACCCCAATCCCCCGTCGGTAGCCACCGGAGTCACCCAGCACGCTGATTAACCCCCCCTCACCAGCCCTCGTCGCGTGCAACTCGCACTCACATGCACACACGCGCATGCACAGGTCAGCTCATTGTAGGGAAGTATTAAAATCGCACAGCGGAACGCACCATACACACACTATAAAGGGAAACCCTGATCACAGGTTATCCAGACAACCTTTATGACTCTACACTTCTGTTCATTTACTTTCAATCCTTCGCGAGCATTTTCTTTATTATTATTAATATTATTATTATTATGCTTTTTTAAGATGAGAAATCAAACTGCGGACCTCATAAAATAACTGGACTGCCAAGCTGGGGTTTTCTTTGCAGGGAAATGCTGTTGGTCCCCCCTCCCCTGGGGGCAGTAGTCACCTTCTCAGCCTAATTAGCCAATTAGCTCCACTGCATAAAGTTTTAAGATGACAGTAGTAATTCTTTCTTTTTTAATCTGTGGAAGTGCCTCTGTATTCCCGTTATGCAATGTTTTCAGTATCGATTCAGGTTGTTTTTACACGTAATAAGCTATAGAGAACAGGAAGGGGGAACCCGGGAGATCATTGGTCTCACGGGGACAGATCGCTAAAGATTGCAAACATCTATATATAAAATATATATCAAATATACATATATATTTATGGATATATACTTTTCGTTCGTTTTGGGGGGAGATAAGCTTGCTCGCAGTCTAGTTATTTTCTGAAGTCAGTCAAAACGGGTCGCTCTCAGTACCAGGACCCGAACGCCGTTACACGCCTCCGCAGCCTTCTGTGGCACCCAGCCAAGCGACACGGCTAAAGTACAAGCCGTCCTTTAAAAACAAAAAAAAAGTGAAATGAGTCAATCGTAATTGACACGAAATTGAAGAGTAAAACAGCCTCCTTAGTTTTTTTTTTTTTCCTATTTTGGATGGAAAGTATTATTATTGAAAATTATGTATGTCGATTGAGCCACGTGCAATGCATTGGGTAGATAAATGTGTTTGTCTGTTAGAGATTTTTAAGAAAGAGAAAAAAAATATTTTTGTTTCAAGTCCACAAACTCCGGGACTCTAAATATGAGAGTGGAGAAAATTAATCCCAGTCTTTGTAAGTTTGGGGAAATTCTTCTACTTTTTTTCTTTTCTTTTTTTTCATTTTTTATTGTTTCGTTTGTAATAATTTGCTTTAAAATGTGGGAGGGCTGAAGGAACAATTTTACAAAACGACAAAAATGATATATTACTAAATAAAACTGGTGCTTTTTACGATATAAAGTACATTCAAACTCTATTATACATAAATAATAATAAACAAAATTAAGTGTTATCATAAAGCACATTTTAGGAAAAAAAAAACATTATTCTTCTTCTATTCCTCTTTTTGTATTTAATGGGGGGGGGGTTCATTTTCTTCTAGGTTGTGACAAAAGGCATTTTTCTTCAACCTTTACCCAACTTAGAAAGAGAACCTGTGAGTCTAAACCAGAAAGTGCTGTAATACCACTCAGTGGAGCCCCCTACTGGAGGATCAGAGTCAGCCTGCTCGGTCGACCCGCCACGCTCGCGGACGCACCCCCCCCCTCCCCCCCACAACCCAGGAGCCGCCGGGTCGGGGACGTCGTGCAGGATACACTTAACACATGGAGCCCCCCCATGCAGTCGCTGGCAGCTGACAATATGTAAATCTATCGCATGCCCACACTCGCCATGAAGCGCGGACAAGATCTTCCCTGGCGTGGAAGATGCATCAAAACGGCGGAAAAATATCTGTTTTGTGGAAAAAGGAGAGAGAGAGATTGCTTGGAGAGATGGGAGTCGTGTACCGTGAACTGATTTTTTTGGTAGATTTCGTAGATTAGCAGACTCCCGTCTCAGTCCGAGCCCAGGAGGAGCGAGTGAGAGTGAGACCCCGCGGGCTTTAGGTTTCTGGCCACAAGGATCACAGACAAGTGTACGAATCGTGTAAAAAAAGTGAACCCCTCCCCCGATCCCCGCCCCCTCTCTGAACTCCCCCGTGTAAATGACTCTTCGGTAGTGTTTGGTGGTGTAGTGTAGATTACGAGCATTTAAAGGTTGTCCCTTAAAAGTGCCTTTTGTTCACCGACTTCATCTTGTAATCCAGAGCGCCCTTCTAGAAAAAAGTCCCCTCCTTCTTACTTCTCCTATATGCTCTTCTACCTTTTCGAAGCCGTATATATAGTACTAAAGGAAATTGGTGTGATTTAGTTCTTCTTTTTATTGTTAAATGATAAAAAAGGAAAAAAAAGTACTCTCTCGCTTTCTTACTTTCCCTCTGTGTCTGTGTCTCCTTTCTCTTCCCTTGGACACTGGAGTAGTCTGTAGCCGCGTGTCTGTCCCCCCTGTCACCCCCCCCCAACCCCCCCTTCTCTGAACGGAGGGGGTTTTTAAAAAAATTGCAAAAACTTTGTCTGAGCAGAATGCAGTTAGCTCATGTTATTCTTGTCTGTACGCTTCACGATGTATTACCATACCGATCTCTTCAGCTTCTCCATTGAACAGCTAATGTAAGTGAACAAGTTACGCCGGTGAGCCCCTGGGGGTGCCACGGGGAGGGCATCTAAGGGTGGGTGGGCTTTCTTTTTTCCTGGGTGGGGGGGGCGCCAAACTGCTTGCTTTTGGTGGACATTTAAAGGATACAAGAACTCCTCTTAGGGACGGTGGAAACGGCTGCTGGGGCACCGAGAGCTTGTTTTTACAATTCAATTTTATTCATATATATATATATATATATATATATATATATAAAAAAATTGGGATCCACCTAGATATTTGAGGCCAGGATGCTGAAAATTTGGAGCGGGAATTGAAAATCACATGGTAGTTTTTTTTTGACCAGCTAAGTAAAGCGACAGATCGGAGCATCAGAAAAAGTGCCGTGTGGGGAGGAAGAGTTTATATCGGAGGGCAGAAAATAAATCACGTTAGATTGTAACCGGAAACGGGGAGAGACGGTACCCCCAAATCCACTGCCCCGCCCCCCCCTTTAGACACTTGTACCTTTGCACTGTTGTGTCCCTACTTGGTGCTTTGTTATTCCACCAGCAAAACAAAACACAAGTAAAATGGCCATTATGTTTGGCGCCAAATCTGATTTTCCCGAAAGCATCAGTGAGGGTTTTCTAAGTCGAACCAACATCAGTATTAACCACGACTGGTGACCGCAACTGTCCAAAGCCACGGCGTTGCGGCGACTCGTGGCCTACTCCTCCTGCCCTGTGAGAGGCGCTGTACCACTTCTGCCACCTCTCCCCCACACGTGCAACGTGCCACTCAGTAGTTGTTTGGTAGGCTGTGCCCCAGCCGCTCCCTCCCCCACCCCAAGCTATCAGAAGACGTTCAGAGTCCCAGAAAGCACACCTCCAGGGCTCATGGCGGAAATGCATGTGTTAATTACAGTTTCTTTTCCATAATAATAAAAACAGTTTTAAAAGAGCAGCACCTTTAACTGATTGAATAAAAGGATGTTCTTGACTGTAAATACACGTGTGCAGTGATTTTATTTAATGACAACATGATGTGTTTACTTTCACCTAAAATATACTGTGTAGACTTTCAGGTCAGGGTGGTGCAGTGGTTAGCACCCAACACTGTAACCCCGGTTCAAGACTCCACTGTGGCACCACGCCCACTCCCCCTGTCTTTTTGTGGGGTTTCCTTCAGGTACTCTGTTCCCGCCCCCCACAGACAAAAAACATGTTAAGCTGAATTGAGGTTGCTAGATTGCCCGTAGGTGTGCCGTGCGATGGGATGGTGGCCCATCCTGGATCATTCCCCACCCTGCACTTCTGGATTGATGGATGTTTAGGTTTAAGGAGCCACACTGGTATAGCAGTTAGGATAGTGGCCTCACACTTGCATGGATTTAGCATATTTCTGCTGATTTTTTCTAAATACTCCGATTTCCTCTTGCAGTCTGAAGACACTCAGTCTGGTGACTCTAAATTGCCCTTTATGTGGTTCGGAGTGTGAGCCCTCGGACAGACTGCAGGCTCACTACGTCTGGATTAGCATTTATACCAGAAGGAAAACTAAATCAATGACACACGCTAAGGATGCTTCTGAGTAGAGGATTTGCCCGAGTAAAGTATACAAGCAGGGGTGGATTAAGGTGTACGGAGGCCCCTAGGCTACAGTAGTCTGTGGGCCCCCCAACCCAGCACCGCCCCGCTTCAATGGGGGCCCCCTTGCAGGCTGGCACACGTGGGGCCCCTAGGCTTAAGCCATATCTAGCCTGTGCGTTAATCCGCCCCTGTATACAAGTATGACCTTCATGTTGGTGAAAATGATGACATCACGTCTGCCAGCCTCTCGTAAGGTCACCTCTGTATTTGCAGCAGCTATCCAAGGTGCCAATGTATTTTTGAGCACTACCCCACCTAGTGTGCCAAATCAAAACCTCATTGAGTTATTTAATGCATTCATTTCATTAACTAATTGAGCTGGTGGAGAAATTTAAGAAAGACATGGAATGGCTGGGGTGCCCCTGAGTTGAGGTTTGGGAAGCAGAGTGATCTCCTCTTGTTGTTCATCCAACAAGAAATCAGTAACTTTTTGGAGAACAGAAGAATTTAATTTTTTGTTTTGTGTTGCATCACTTCCAATTTGAATATGTTCTAATGTTAAATTGTGTTTTTTTTTCACCTAAGTATATATCCAAATAAATAGCCTTAAACATTTTCTTTGACTGCCTTTTGCACAGTATTGTGTAGCAACTATTCTTGAAACCATTGAAACCACGATTTTCAAAGTTCTCTATGCCAAAATACAATGTCACATGCTAAACCTGAATGACCCACAAATGCATCCTGATGAAGGTCACTATAGATGGAATATAGATCCATCCGTACCTGAGGAGGATGCTGAAGGGATGAGTGTGCGCACCTTCCCTAAGCATCTAAATCGCCGGGCTCTTAAACCCCCTTACCGTGCCCTCGAGGCGAGAGACTGCAGGGAAGGTGGTCTACGAGAAACCATGATGCTATTTCAGAGCAAAGCGCAGACATGGAGTGTAACTTGCCGCAGTGCGTTTAACGGAGTTAGAGGTGGCATGGAAGCGACAGCCTGTTCAGTGCAGTTCTCTGGGGCACCTTGGTACCAAGGCCACAGAATGAGGTCAGGGGAGGCTGGCTGCTGGGCCTGTTGTCAGGGAGATGGCTGCCACAGGGGACCCCCTCGTGTCATGTTGGAGGAACAGAGGAAGCCGACATCCCTCTGATGTGCCACCTCTACCTTTGGCCCACACTGTGCTCATGCAGACCCTGAGCCCGGCCAGGTACCCGCTGCAGTCTGACAGCTCCCTAATGGAGTCTGTAATGAAGCGTGCAGAGGACATCCTGTCACCGCAGTCCAGGGAGGGTCATGAAAAGGCATCGCCAGCAGAGGGCGCCATAATTATCGCCCTCATCTCAGCCACACTACTCTGGGTAGATGGGCCTGGGCCTGCCAGGGAGTTGTCCTGGGAACCTGTCACTTCTGGTGGGTCCATTAAGAACAGCCACCTTTATAGCCTCTTCTCCCTCATTTATAGTGCCATCCATTTAATAGTGCTAATGTTGTCCCAGAAGTGCCATTCTCTACTTTACAGAGGGTCAATGTATGACTGACCCCAGCTTGCTAAGTGGTTCACAGTGACTTTCTGACAAAGAGTTGTGCAGGGAAGCTGTGTGAACAAGGGCAGCAGCCACACTGTGGCATTAAGTATCATTATTATAACCATTTATTATTATTATTTATTATTCCCTGGTTGAAGATGGATGAATGTGCAGACCAAACATGTTTAAAACAGACCAGTAGTTGTGTTGATTCACACAATTGGAAAACAAGACTGGTTTTCCTACTAGAAAAGTCCGTTAGACATGCACTAAACAGATTCATTTACTTCAAAAGCCAATGAAACAGAACCTCATACAAAATTAGCCCTTACATCTTCATTACTCACTGCTGTGGCCCATTAAGCTAGGAATTGTCCCCTGAAGGGCTCTTTCAGCTACTTTTTGGCGTTTCTTCGCAAAATCACTTGTACTTCCGCAATTACATCACTTACATGGACAAAATGTCATTTCACTCAGAGTACAAGATGTCAGAAAAATCAATTATCTACAGATCAGAGATAATTATGCAACTTGTTAAATTCTGTAAAATAATAGAACTTCCCTGGATTTCTCATTTGCGACCGCATACACATTTTCAGTTTTTATGGGCCACAAACCGGTGATTTTGTGAAATTATTCATACTAATTTATAGGTATTATCTGCAAAACATGAAACTACGTAAACCTTTCAAACCATTACTCAGTTCAGTTCAGAACGCATGTAAACAAACATCAGAATCTACCTCCTTGACATGATCTTGTTTCATGTATTACGTGCGTGAAGTTTGAATTGCTTGATTCCAAAAATTCACCGACTGAGATGCCTTCAAAACCTTATTTATATTATAAAAAACACATTCAGAAAACACCTCCCGTCCAGGGTGCCTGCCCCCATGTGTGCTTCCTGAAATAGCCTGCAGGCCCCCCATGACCCAGTAAATAAGCAGATAAGTGGGTGGAATATAGACAGTCATAAAAACAAACACTCGCATCCCAAAACTGTTATTTATTGAAGCTCAACACAGGCCAGGAAAAGGAAGTGTAAACACAACTGTTTGTACTATTACAAGATATAAAAAGCTACTTATACAGTGACTAGAAACTGCTCGTGTTTGACCACGTAACTCCCTGCCTGCAGAAGAACGGAACTCTACAGGAAGCCTTCAAGTTCAGACTGCTGACACCAAAAGCAACATAGAACAATCAGGTCTTGGGATCAAGACAGTAACATCTATCTCACACACTTAATAAAATATATCCCATGTATATATTTTCTCACAAAAATACCAGGGAAATATTTCATTTGTGTCTCCCCATGTTGTATAAATGTATGTAGCTGCCCTGCATTAAGAATCCTGCCTCAGATAGCGTATCATGTGCAGTCTGCTGGAATGAGTCTCACTCAACGCTGTGCACCCATTTTCTACCACAGCGTCATCTGTAGTGGTGTCCAGATGCCCCAGCTTCCAATCGTTCCGTTCAAAAAAAAAAAAAAAAACACCCAACCAATCAATGGACGTAAAAGCTGACCCCGGAATAGACGCGGGGGCCAGTCTGGACTTTAACGCGACAGGGCCGCGCCCCCGAACAGGTGCACAGGAAGCTGGAAGCTATGTGTCGGCTGCATGGTTGGCGACGGCCAACTGACTTCAGCCAAGCGAAGGGCAGATTGAGTGCCGATTTCCCAAGCCGCTCATCTGGGCAGGACACCCCAGAATAACGAAATCTCTGCGGGAGGTCATCAATATCCTCGGGTTCTGAGGCGTGAAGGACACAATTTTCTTCATAATCACCAGTTTTCCCTAGAACTCAACCCCCACCCGCCCCAGTCATACACATAATACTTTGGAGATATGACTGCCCCAGGATCCCTGACCTTCCTATATGCCCAAGCTAGGCTGCCAATTTGCAAAAACACTGAAAAATGCTGCATTCAGACACATGCATGTAAGCGGTCTTGCTCTAATGCCGTTTTGTCTTGCCGAAAGGTGCATAGGTGCCAGGTCATCCTTCCATGGCCGCATCTTCACACCCCTGGCCAATCACCCCTGGACCTGCAGGTCCCCATATTCTACATATTCAAATCCAGCAATTCCATTGGAATTTAAGTCCATTTTAATCATCCTACCACCCTTCCTGAAAAACACCCAAAATTTAAATACCCAACCCCACTCCTTTAAGTCATCACTTTAATCTCTCCATCCCCAAATAATAGAAAATAAGCTTTTCGTTAAAGCGGACACAGTGCTTGAGCCGGGAGCGAAGCGGGTAGGCCTCGTCGAAGACTCATTCGTTCTGGTTCAGTAGGAAGTTGGCTGCCAGATTCTCATTCTTCTCGCAAGCAAAATAGGCCTCAAGCACCAGTTCCTCTGGAAACCCCAGAGCCTTCAACTGGTGGGAAGGGAGACAGACGAGACAAAGGGAAATAAAATCACTTCAAAATGCAAAGTGGATAGAAAAAAAAATACGACTTTCACTACTGTAGTCAATTACTTCCAGACTATAAACAAATCATGCAGCCCAGGTTCAATGGGACTTAACTCTACAACCTTCCATAATCATCAATTTCAATTAAGCCATTAAATTTCAGTTTCACTGATTGCCACTGACTTTATCATGAGGTCCCCTTTGTTGTGCAGCTTACCCATTTACTGTATTGAATTGTATTGTACTGTACCAATGAACAGTGTTGTTTCAGTTGAACACCCATTAAAGGTTTGAGGTTTTTACAAATCCCTGTACACAGGGTTGCCGATGGGATGGAAATCAGGTCAGTTGTCCCCGGGCCCCGGGTCAAGGGGCCCCAAAAGGGGCCTCTGAGGTTTACATAGTCTACTGGAATAATGTCAAACATATTTGCGAAAATTTTATATAGCATGTGAATCACATAACTGCTTGTTATTTTCCTTGACATCAGTGTTTAAGAACAATTTCCTCCCCATAATGGAAAAAAAAAATGGTTTGGTCTGCTCTTTTAGTGCCAGTCAAACAAACTCGTCGTCTGTCCAAAAGCAACGCAGAAGAAGCAGCAGAAACGTATTTAGTTTGTAAAATATGCCCGAGACGTCGGAGAGCTGATAAACCCGGTTTAAGTTTCCGGCAGACCCAGGAAGATGCAGTAAATGGACTGCAGTGGTCAGACAGGAGAATTGGAAACATACAAATAATACATAAATGCATGTATGTAGTATGTATGATTTTTTTTTTTTTCCTCGGGCACGTGCAAGACACACGGCAGGCTAGCATAAGCAGCTCCCCCCTGCCCGTCCCGCCCGCTCCCCCCCACCCATCAGTGAAAGGCGCTTACCCTCTCAATTGCTTCCTTCTCCTGCGGCGTGACCTGGATGTAGTTGACGCCGCTGCCCTCCTCCTCCTCCTCCACCTCCTCCTCTTCCTCAGCCGGGCCTAGCCCCCCCCTCTCTGCCAGATCCTCATCTTGTCCCGGCTGCTCATTCAGCATTTGAATGAACAGCTCCTGGTGCTGGCTGATTTGCTGTGGAGAGAGAGGGGAGGCGGAGTCTAGGAGGCCGCACGTCTGCGCGTGTGTGGGCACGTACCCCCACTTACCTGCAGCATGTGCGGGTTGTCCCTGCTCAGCTGCTGCAGCAGCGCCGGCAGCAGCGCCGGGTTCTGCTGTATCACCTGCCGCATCCCCTGGAACTGGGGCTGTGAGCGCAGGAACTCCAGGGGATTCCCTGCCGAGTGACACGCCGGGGCGACAATGTCGACACGAGTACGCACACAGGCAGAAGCAAAATACACTCACGGAAGCTACTGAGCCCAAAGTGTGTCCCTGTTTTGTCAGCAGAGGTAGAACATTTGGGTACAGAAAGTACAAATCCAGACCAAGATTTTGTTTCAACCAACCAGTTGAACATAATGAGTCGCAGTCACAGAGTACTCAACTGGTTGGCTGAAACAAAATCTTGGTCTGGATTTGTACTTTCTGGACCTGAACTTTCCGCCTCTGATTACTAAAGTAAAGAGATAAAGGTGATCCTTAGAGATTCCTGCAATAGTCACCTTCAGTGGCATCAGAGAAGGTGCTGGAATGGGCTTCTGGCGGGGCAATGCTCTCCTGAACTGGCGTGCTGGGGATCCCCTAGATGGAGAATATCAGTATCTCACATTAACCACAACCAACATCAAACTATAGCAGATCTGCAGCAAATCTTCACATGCTTGTTTATAAAATGGGTTATGCTGGACAATACGAACAGAACTAAAACATCATACTGAGTTAATAATGGAGTTAGTCATCGTGCCCGACTTCTTTAACTCTAAAGTCAGGCCGTTAAATAGCTGCTTATTAAACAGCTTCCGTGGCCCGTGCAGCTCAAGCCGCAATGCATGCTGGGATATGGGCGTGGGAGGGTGCAGTAATGAGGCCTCACGTTGAGGAGGTACTCCACGGCCCGGTCGGGGTTGCAGTAGCTGGCCCGCAGAGCCGCCACCACCTTATCCCGCTCATAACCCATGGCCACGATAGCCGTCACCATGGCCTCGTAATCCGGACCTGTGACGGGCAAGGAACACGATCAGACAATGGAGACAGAGAGGTAGCGGGGGAAAAAAAACGGGAGACTTTCTGTCACAGGAAACCGCTTCCCACTCACCCTTGGGAAATGACACGTCATCCTCCGGGGTGTCCTTGTCTGGATGGGGGCTGTAGGAGGAAGAGAAAGTCTGCTTTAATATTACAGCAGGACTATATCTGACTGAATGAGCCTGACAGAGAGCTCCAGTACCCTGCAGAGGGATTGCCCCGCTCTGGGGGCTTGTCGTCCCCCGGGGGGATAGGGATGGCTGCAGGGGCTGGCTTCGGTGGAGGGCCGGATTCGGCAGCCGTGGTTTTCGGCAGTTCTGCAGGCTGCACTGCCTCCGCTAGCGGTGACTTGGCCTGTTTCGAACAATAAGGGTCAATTAGGCTGAGAGTCAGCTTAAGGCAGAGAGTGCAGCTTAACTGGTTGTCCTCAGAGACGCTGGGGCACAGTGAGCTGGGGGGGGGGGGTGGCAGCCTATCCCCCCTTCCCCCGTTAAGCACAGCTGCACAACACGTGCCCACAGAACCAGGGAAGTGCAGCTTTGAGCACCTGTCGATGGCAATGAGCCTCTGTCACACCCCACAGCTGTTTCTGTCTTGAGCGGAAACTTGAAACTCTGACATAGACTGCATAGCTTGTGCAATACATAGAGGATATATATATAAATATATAAATGCCTTCTACCTTTGACACCATGACCACCACAAAGTTCTTCTCATCGATTTTGTACTCCTTAATTGGCATGTCATCCTGCAGAATCTTGCCTGCGTAGATCAGCTTCAGGCCTGAGACTGGGAAGCTGTCTTTCCCTTTCTCTGCTTCGATCCTTTCCTTCAGATCTTTTACCTGCGGATCGGCCGTGGGACATAAATATAACATATCGGTAAACGGGACACCTAGATTGGTCAAAAATTCCGGTAATGTTCCGTTCGCGTGTCAGTAGCAGCGCGATTAGTTGTCATTCAAACGATGCAGCTCCTAATCAGCCTCATACTTTGCTAAGAATAATATGTATAGAGATCATTATATTCAGCTAGAACCTTAATCGCCGCAATCTATCGATATCAACGGTAATAAAAGATACAACGGAAATGTAACCACCCATCTCACATATGATTAAATAGCGCTAAACAGACACCTACTGCAGAGGTGTGACTTTAGGCAAAGTTCATTAGACAACAAGTCTTGTAGCTAGAGATGCATTTATAAAAAAAAAGTCACTAACTACCTGCCTATTAAAATATTAAAACACTTAAATTTAACATGTGTTGATTTAAAAGGAGACACTTCCATAACGCGGAACGATTGGTGCGATTAAATTATATGTTCACAGACGTAACTCTCCCCATAAAGTAAAATACCTGTACCATCACAGCACTGTCATTTCCACATATACTTGGACTGTTGGGAGGCACTCACCGTCTGCTCATCGTCAATGTTAATCTGGATCGTCTGTTGCTGCAGCGTCTTCAGTGTGATCTGCATTGTTACACCACTGCTCGATCAACTCCTCTCCAGTTGTTTCTGCGTTCGTATCCCGCCTCAACACGCCAGTCAGTCAATCGGAAGAGTCTGTTCGACCGTATCAGCCGGGAAAAGGAGCAGCTCGGCAACGCAGGGTAGCATTCAGCCGTCGGCCGCCATCTTTGCGATGACTGCGAGGCTGACGCCTGTACCACGTGACACATTCGTATCTACTTAATTTATGCTGTATGTTGTAAGCCCTGGTGACATTCAGTTATACATTTATATGCATTAAATTTTTACAATCTTTACATAATAATATCTTAAGTATCGTATATTTCGTATGTTAATGTATTTTGTGCGTTTCATGCTGTCCATTTATTTTAAGACGTTTTGCACATGCCTAGCAGCTCATTGTTTCTACGACATCTTACTATGTAATTCCACGTCAAATATATTTTCAAATTATTAGTACATGGTTCACACTAAAAACGCTACGTTACATTCATTCATTTATTCATACATTCATTCACTCACTCACACATTCAGTCATTTTGTTCAATCGTTCATTCATCTATTTTACATACCCCTTGTGCTATGCAGTGAAATGAAAAAATAAAGCTGTTATTCATATTAACCATTGTCATTTCCAGTTTATTTTCTGTATGTGACGTAATATATTTGCAGAGCCATGATTCGTCATCAAATATGATCATAAGCGTAATTAGTCTAAACATTTTATGCGAAGTAGCAATTTGTAGAATCATGAATACAGCTATCATTTCTCCACTATTGTTTTATCAAGTATCTAGATAATATTTACAGTTTACAATTGTGCCTGAGTACTCAGCACATCTATTTGAGTGCAACAAAATAATATAAAATAAAATAGCATCTGAAAAGAGATTACTTTGAACATTTCACTACAATCTCCAGAATGCCTTGCGGGGCATCGCACATCCGCTCCAGCAGTTTGTAAACAGTGCGAAAGGAGAGATGGAGTCCGCGAGAGGTCTCACCTAAATTTATTAGCCATATAATAGGGTACAGAACTGCTGTCCATTGCAGACAACCGCTGAAACAGAAGTTCGTTTTCAAGCACTGTCGACTTTTTATTTTCTGCAATCAAAAATTTGAAGGCTTATCTACAAAACGCAAACGTCCTGCAAGCAATTGTGGTTTTTTTGGATCAGAGTTTTTTTTGATCCGAGGAGTGTTTCACACCAGACGAGAAAATCGCTGTCACAGCATTACGACCCGGTGTATTCATCTGGTCCGGCCATTTAGTCCGGGTTTGTGGTGCCTTTCGATGGGGAACTGCCTGTCCTCCCAGGGCGCCGATGATTTGTCGCTGCTAAACGAGTCGGAGGGAGCCAGTCTGCCCGGGGAGCCGCCGCCGCCTTACCAGGTGTGCCGCTAGACGGGGCGGATCGAGCAAATCCACGCCGGGGACTCGAAAGCACACTAATGCCGTAGCGACTGATGATACCGTTGACTGTTGTAATTCAGGCACTTGTGCCAAGTTGATATCAGCGAGCGATCGGTGCGTCGAAATAATCGAGAAACGCCTGTTTATCTCCGGTTTCCAAATCTCGGTGAAGTTAGAGGTCGCAAAATACGCAGCGCAGGCTTACAAACTATCTTAAAGCGTGAAACATTTGCTATGTCATCTAATATAAGTAGTTGTACACCCTTTGATGTCTATTTTTTATAAGTTTGCACTCTATAATAATTTACTGAAATTAGCGACGGTGCATTGCACATGGGCTTTAGGTCGTGCTATATGTTGAATCCTAACTTTTTAAGACTTTATTTTTTTTAATCGCTGCACTTTCAGCGTGGGCCGCATGAACGTTATACGTCATGTTAATGACATGCATGTAATTCCTTCCAAAAATTATGTAGTTTTTACATTTTGACCAAAAGTCGAGTTACTAGTATGGCCGTTCCCTTTTCACCAGTAGTAACAACGGCCAGACTCGGTGGGTGTATCGCTGCCCTCTGGGACTAGACTTATCGATCAGTGCTGTTGTACCAATGAATGTAACCTTGAAAGGCGGGGGATAGTGCCCTGGGCTGGAGCGGGCACACTCCATAACATTATAATTACAATAGATCCCACTTGTGATAGAGAGAGTCATAAGATAAAATACTTAGTAGGATATTGTGAAAATAGCGAAAAGATTAGAATCTAAATATTTCAATGGCTTATAGTCACAGAATTTAATAAGCTTAAAGCCTATCATTTTAAACGGCGATTAAAACAATGTTGACATTTGCGCCTTCCAATATGAAACACTAACATTTTGAATGCTTTCATTACGAAGTTTTTTAAATGATTATTTACCTAAAATGTTCGACGTATTGTTTCGTCTTTACATGCAGTGTTTTGAAATACTTCAATTGTTATAATGCGAGACACAGCATTTTCCTTTTAATTTTGGAACTAAAAGGACAATTTCAAATTGCAAATAAACTTATAACAGCGGACATCCTTGCCTTAGGTGATTTACGACCGTCTTTGATCTACAGTCTTTTGTAAATTTCGAGTCTTTCTGCTCTGTTAGTAAGAAGGGTTTAAAGTGTTTGGCAAGACTGTTGAGCTTTGGTTTGCGTACAATGTACAATGGAGCTGCTTGTTCGTATCCCTGAAATCCTGTAATCTTTTTGCCTGGTTCGGTGTGTGTGCGCGTGTGCACGCGCGCGTGCGTGTGTCTTTACACAGGAGCGCGCTCAGGTCCCTGTGTACCATCCCACACCTAGCCAGACCCGGCTCGCTACGCAGCTAACTGAGGACGAGCAGGTCCGCATCGCCCAGAGAATCGGCCTCATCCAGCACCTGCCCCGTGGCATTTTTGACCCTGGCTCAGAGCCCTCCGACAAGAAAGTGAAGGAGTGAGTAGCAGGGTGGGCTGCTGTACCCAGTGCCTGATCTTGGGCAGCTCGTTTGACAGCCTGTACTAGCAAAGCCACCCAGTTACCCCTGCAGTCACCCATGACATAATACACAGAAATTAATTACTGGTACTTTTAATATATATCTCAAAAAGCATTTATGTGCTCAGCGGTATACGTATATGGTAACCTGAATGAGACAAAACTGTTCTGAGGGCAGAATGAAAAATTATTGGTTCAGAGAGATAACCAATCAGATTGTAGAGAAGGTTAGTCCAACCAATCAGAATGTCTTGGTCCCACGTCCTCCAGTTGCTTGGACCCATTTCCTCTACGATCTGATTGGTTCAGAGAGATAACCAATCATTTTTCGTACTGCCATCAGAACATTTTTGTGTAAGTAAAACTCCCACAAGCAACTGAACATCCAACATAATGCTAATGAATTCTTCCATATTTATTTCTGTACCTCTCTTCAAATGGGTACCATAATGCACTGCCCATTCTTCTGGCTTGCTTATTGGTGCAGTGGTGCAGGCCAGGTTTGAAGCTACCCGTCTCCCCTCCCCAGGTGTGTGATCTGCATGATGGACTTCGAGTACGGAGACCCCATCCGGTTCCTGCCCTGCCTGCACATCTACCACGTGGACTGCATCGACGCCTGGCTCATGCGCTCCTTCACCTGCCCCTCCTGCATGGAGCCCGTCGATGCCGCCCTGCTGTCTTCTTATGAAACCAACTGAGGACGCCCCCCCGGCCGCCACCCACCCCCTGAGTTAGTCGAAGCCATGATATTATGCCAGTCAAGCTGTCCAATAGATGGATGGGATGTGGGATGGTGAGGGTTGTGGAAGTGGGGAACCAGGTGGGTGCAAGTGTTCACACAGAGACTGAAATAGGTAGGACTCATTTTTTGTGGCAGAGGAATGGGGCATAAATGTAGGAGGTTGCTTTGGAATGAAAGGTATCCCCAGCTTACAGAGCAGAGCCATGGCTTAACCTTTCTCAATGAAGGCTAAAAAATACTGATGTAAATGTAAGCAAATATACATCGCCACTAATCATTGGACGAAAACATACTTCTGTGGGATAAATCCTTTGCTTGAAAAAATAAAAATCCTAACCTTAATGCCCCCAGACCAAAGGTGCAATATATTAAGTGGAATCCAGCGCTGTATTCTCTTGCATTAGGTGAGAGGGAGCTAGATTCCCAGTAATAGTGAAATTCACCAACCAGCAACTACGTATTTTGCAGAGAACAGCAAACACGACGCATTTTTTGTGCTGAAGGAGAGATAGGCTGTTGGGGGAGTCCATAAAAATAGCCCCCAGAGCCTTCCACAAAAAAAAACAAACATCTTGAAAGCCTTTTTTCATTTCAGTATTGGTTCACTGATTGGATAGCAGGTGATCGGAAATGGCTTTCTCGTGCTTTTGAGTTTTCTTATGGGGGGAGGGGGGTCGGCAGAATTGTAGTTGTTCCCCAGCTGCTGTTAGTTAACTTTGCCTTTATATAAATGTGTGTATGTGTGTTTCTCCAAAGAGCATTGCCTTTGGCTCTTCTGCTCGACCACTGAGACTGTTTCTAAAGCTGTTTTTGTTAGTAACTGTTAAGAACACGGTCATGACCTGCAATCCGGCACACATCTCGTCAACTTTTGAATAATCTGTGTTGATGTATTATTCCTGTATTTGGCCTTTTTCGGGGGTCTGACCTGTGTCATTGCACTTTCATTCTTAATAATGGGGGGTAGAATTTTCACTTTCAAGTTTGGGGGGGATGAGATTCAAATATGATTTGTTATATGTTACCTGATTAAACATTAGCACTCAGAGCTTGAAATTGTAAATCCTTTGTAGCTTTATTTTGTTGTTCAGTTAACGGGCAGGAACATTAGGAACAGTGCTTGAGTACAGAATATAACCATTGAATGGTTGAAACAATTGAAAACCGTGCATCTGGGGTCAAGATTGTTGTATACGTCTGTGAAATACAATCATCTCCTATGTGTCAATCTTAGTCGTTCTCCGAGAGATGCAGAACAAGATGTGCTGAGTGTTTTGACCCAGCAAGAAGTATATGATCAACGGGATAAAGATGTGTATAGCTGCTGTCACAGTTATAATTACCAAGTTAGTTTTTTTAATGTTTGTGGCAGAAACTGCTTTTAGGAAACGAACTACAGACCACAATAAAAGTGGATGTCAGATTATTGTGGAGTAGTGTGTTCCATGTCCTTGCGAAACATGCATGTAGTACACTGCCAATTGTCTTATTTGGTCTTATCAAATTATTTTAGTCAATATAAACGCTTCAAGGTAAACGAATTATGCAAAGAACATTATCTTATAGACTGGATTTGTATGCGGATTGCGATTATGCGAAAGGTTAATCTCATTTAACAGATCATGTTCTTACTAATTAAAAGGACAATAAAGTAATTAAATTATGTCACAGGAATCAAGCATTTCAAATCTCCAGTTTATAATCCATTTTTAAGAGACTGAAAAACACAAGTCAGAGACAAAAATGTGAAGCTTTTTTAATATCCACAGCATAGCAAAACATTTCAGAAAAACCATGTACTGAACAGTATGTGAATCAGGATAATTTCCTTACATATCTTAAGTTTTGTGTGTACCACACTTTTCTGGACAGTGTGATTTTTCCCAATCATAAAACTTGTAAACAAATCAGGCCTCCAGATTTTCTTTATGGCAAAAGAATATGGATAGCAGATTTTATGTAATCTGATCAGTGCTAACAAAGGCTGCATTATAACCTTTTTGGGGTTAGCAAAATGACCTCTGTAAAAGGTGCTCCACTTGATGTACAGAGGGATTTATCAAACAAGGCACTGCAGCCAAACTGTCCAAAATGACACCACTTCAGATCAGTAAGTATCTTCCACAGAAAAAGGGAATCCTGGAGAGTTCACAGCCTTGGACATGATCCCGAGAAAGATTTAAAACGACTCTGGAGTAGTGACTCGCAGGTCCGGCGTTTAATAATTCATCATCATGCTGCATGATGGGCAGTGGTACTGTACAGCAGTCATGCTACATTCCACCGATTATAAACCTGAAGAAAAACTTCACAAGTACAACCCTTAGAGTGACACTGAATGTACCCAATCCCCATATCAACATTTTATTAGATGGAGACCACAGGAACTTATACATAAAGGCAACCAAAAACAATTAATCTAGAACATAACAGCATGAAGCCAATATCACAAGTCTATCAAGGTGGTGGCGGGAGTTATCAGAAGAGCATTTCTGAATGCATTCACACTTGCCATCATTAACACAGGAATTGCAAGCACAAAAATAGACACACCTAGAACATGTTTCTGCTGCTGCTGGAACACAGAAAGGCAAGGATTTTGAAGGTGACAGCACACCTGCTCAGCATAGTGCTGTGGCACCAATGTATCCAGACGGCTGGCCGCAGGGAGGAGAGACACTTTCCTTACAGGGGCAGGAGGGCGCGGAGGGGGTCTGTCTGACCCAAAGTCTATTTCACCAGAGGCCTGGTTTTGTCATCGTCGCCACACTGGTGGGCTTTGTATTTCTTAACCTCTGCCATGTACTTAGTCCATGCGTCACCTTTACCTGTGTCAACCTGGGGAAAAGGAGGGGAAGCACAAACCACTTTAGAACTTAGCATCTAGTGCAGCATCCAGGTGACCCATCATCTCGGAAATAGTCCCGCACATATTAATCCAATATCAATCTCGCTTGAAGCCCTCAAGCTCCATTGCTGTAGACGTATTACTCGAGGACATCAGAATCGTCAAGGACACGTCAAGATACTGTAACCTTGGGAAGGTTCAGTTGACTAAGCAAACAAAAAACAAACAAACATTTCCTTAATGTGAACCTTTATGCGATTTGGAGTTTCATTTTCATAAGAATGGCAAATTGCTGCAGATCACACTATCCAACAACTACATCCATTAAACATCCTGCACCAAATCTACGGCAAAAACTGATTAGGCATGCAAACAAAACTGTAATATTTAAAAGTGGACACACCTCAGTGTCTAATTTCTGTTTCTTTGCAACCACTCCTGTCTTGAGGGCCAACTTGGCACCGCCTCTCCGCTTGCCCACCTGGATTAAGGGACAGAAGACTGCACCATTATACGAGGGCTTTCGGGTGCACTGGAAATGATGGTGACTACACAGAGATAAAGGTAGTCTACGTTTAGCCCTTCCAACAGGTCCTCGTGCTCCAAACCTGAAGGTCTATAGTCGAACCATACTGAGCGGAGGTCACATCAGAGAGCAGCAGGCACCTGGCTTTGTTTTAATTTCAGATTTTATAAATAACACGGTGACCTTATGCTCCACCTCTTGGTTGCTAAAAGTGAAATTATCTTTTTGGGAGAGTACCATGCTTGGTAGCTGATCATACTCTGATCACGTGTTAACTGTCAGCCTCAGAGATCCCTGATTAGACTAAGATCAGGAAGCTGACTAAACTGATCCCCGTTGTAGTTGCCTGAAGCTGTATCGATTGTTGCTAGTGTTATTACTGCCAAATCCCTTACAAAGTTGGTCACGTTAAATGTCTTCTTCTCTGCCGTCGACTGCCCTTCATTGGCAGAACTTTTATTGGACTGTCCTTCCTCCGTCTCTCTTTTCATCTTCTCCTGCTCTTCCATTTTCTTCTTGAAGAGTTCCAGAAAGCTGCCGTCGTTGGCGTACAGGTTGGCCCCCGGTACCTTTGGGATGCCCTGTCCGGGACTGGCGGGCAGAGTTGGGCTGTCGGAGCCGCTAGATTCATCGCTACTCTCCCCCCGGTTCGTGCTACTGTCGGGGCTGCCTTCCGCGTCCATGTCCTGCGTTTATCCCCGATATGTCCAAGTCTTTTTTACCAGAACCAAGATCTCTATCGTTTTCGGAAAGTCGTTTGGCGCCAGGCTCCCGATGCGGTTTCAAGTTGTGGGGATATTAATCACTCAGTGGAAAAAAAGTAATCAGCTTATGTTTTTGCTTTAACCCTACAAAGACTAAGCACAATCAGCACCCGGTATTTATCTGGAAACAGGAAACAGTCAACCAGTCGATATCGGGTTTTTAAAACTACCTAACAACAATCGAAAGATAATGTCAGGTCAAACACAACACTGACTAGCCCGGTGACTGTCTGAATAACATCGACTGATTATCGAACAGCCCAAAGAAATAAGAAGTCTAGTGCTCTTTAAGGTATTTCAGAATAATAAACTCGAAATGGAAAAAATCTGACTTGATTTAGACCACCCAAAACGTAGATTGAGAATTACTTCGTGGAGCCGACCATCTTGCTTTATACCGTTTCACTACGTATAAAACAAGACCTTAAAAGAAACCGAAGAATCACAAGAACGTCGCGTTCTTATTGGTCGTCAGCAGAGCAATCTGCGTTTTGATAGGCTTTCACTTTGGGGGGCGGGAGTTACAGATTTTCCCCCGCTATTATCATAGCAACAAGTGTAGTGACGAATTCCGGGTTTCGTTACAAGTTCCGGCTGTTAAATTTCTGCGGGAGGGAGATGCTGAAAGTCGATAAATAAAGAAAACTACGTATTTTACATCTAAGCTGTACATTTTGTTGCAGTATGAATTCATTCAGATCCGCTCTTTAACTGATTAGATCTATTAACACTGTCATTCTTAAATAAGTAGTGGACTTTGAGAAGCTGCATAATTTTCTGGTAGCTTCCATAATCATTTAAGCAATACAGGTTCACACTGAGGGCAGTTTCGAAATACGAGAAACACAATGCAAATTTCCGTTTAAAATTATTCATTTTCAATCACAGGACAACATACATTTTATCTGGATTGTATCGAGTTTGCATTTATTTTCTTATATATCTTAGACATCTTTGCACTCTGTGGCTACAATGAGTGAAATGGAACTGTGGGCTAAAATGTCAAGGGGCTGGTTGCAGAAGACGCTCCCCACACGGCACTAGTATCCCCATATAACCCTGGCCCTTGCTTAACAATAAATGCTCGTCCGCTGCTATTCTTGGTGGGCTTTTTTGTTATTTATTGCTAGATGGCAGATGAGACTCCAAAGTCCAAATCAGTTTCCATCGATGAAATATGTAGGTTTAAATATTAGCATACAAATACATACATTATATCTATTGAATCCGTATGTTGTTTAATTATTTTCGCTAGTCAGCTATAGTAGCATCCCATGAATGTTTACTGCAAATCACTATTTCTAGCAGCTGTCTTTTATTTCAGATTCAGGCATGACGAAGCAATCCGGGGCAGCCACCAGTGACCAGGCAGCTGCCGCCCATAGCACGCCATTACGGCTCCGGAGCAGCGTCTGCCGAGTGTCCCTGGGCCGTGCTGCGTGGGTACGGTCGAGCCGGTGCTAAGATGGCAGCTCCGATGGAAGACGAGTTCGAGGATGCGCCCGACGTGGAGCCGCTGGAGCCCACTTTAAAGAATATCATTGAGCAGACGTCATTGAAATGGATCTTCGTAGGGGGCAAGGGCGGCGTTGGGAAAACGACGTGCAGGTACGATGAGGACTGGGAATGAAAAGTGGAATTTCCGTTCATGCTCCAGTAGCTTTCCAGTGTGCCTGTTAGCATGCACTAGCTAGCGTGAACAAAGTAGCTGTCGTGCTGTTCGACGCCACTATCACACCGATTTTAAATGATAAAAAGCCTAAGAAAAAAATCAACAAAAAGGAAAATCCAGTCGATTTGCCGGTAATATAACTTTAACAAGTTAGCGCTTCTCCACAAACGGCTGGCTACCTAATCTCTACCTAGGAGATCTAGTTGATACTTTAAACTTGGAAATAAAAAAAAAAAAGGCCAGTAAAGTCACATATGTTGTCGTACCCGTTCTCCTTATTTGCACCGCTCACTGGAGTCGGGTTGTAACCCACTGATTGCGGTTTACAGTGACCCCTTACCTTCCCCGTTTCCTCCTTTGACAGTTGAGGCGTATTGTGGTTTTCATGTATGGAGGTGTTAGACAGTGCTGTCACTGCAATATTTAGTCAGCCCGGAGTTATATATCGATTACTGTTCTGAGTACAAAACCGGCTCTATCTGCCCTATCATGTGATCAGTCGGATGGATGGGTGGGGGGTTACCCCCTCATATTGGGGATTGATAAAAGCCTTCTTCCATCCCTCTCCTCTGGCACAGCTGCAGTTTGGCTGTACAGTTAGCCCAGGTGCGAGACAGTGTCCTCATCATCTCCACGGACCCTGCCCACAACATCTCTGACGCCTTCGATCAGAAGTTCTCCAAAGTGCCCACTAAGGTCAAAGGATATGACAACCTGTTTGCTATGGTCAGTCTGCTTTAATATATTGTCTGCTATGTGCATCACACAATAAATATCCATAACACAAAAATGTATATTGCACGTATATTGTGGTATCTTGCTGTATCTGAATGCCATAGACCATTCCTTTGATTTGCTTGCCCAAAGTACATATCTGAATATATGTTATTGGAAAGGACTAAATTTCACATATTTGTGGTCTGAGTGTGTTATTTTAGTCAGAGGTTTGCCATCTGGCATCCACAAAGTAAATCTAAATAAATCAAACTCCACTTTAATCAGTGTGCTTTTTTAGTTGCACTGCATAATATATGTCCAGAAATAAATTCACTCCTTACATGAAGTTTATATTACTGAATCAAATAGTGTACATAGTGCGCTGAATTACAAAACGAGGTTTCACGTTCATCCTTGCTGAAACACATCTGTCTTGCTGTCTGTCTTCTCCTCCCTTTTGGCCATTAAAACATTTTTTTTCCCCTGAAAACGTTTCTGATTACATGCTATAGTCTTTCACCATTCTTTTGTATGCAGTAAAAATTTTTGGTTCAGTAAAAGCTTTTGGTTCTGTCACCCAGCTGCCGAGTTGCAGGTGCCAGGGGCTCGTCACCCTGTGTTGCCCCCCACCTAAACCAGGGGTGGGCCGAACTCACACCGCGCAACGTGGGTGACGACCCACTGAACCAGCCCGCTACCCTCTTTTGGTTAAAATATCTCACTGAAGTTGTATCCCACGAAAAAACAAGTTTTTATAATTACTGTTTAAGGGAAGAAAACAACTATGAAATGTAGTATATTCAGTAACGTTGCGCTGCTTTATATGAAGGTCTAAAATATATTCATCTTAAAGTTGCTAATATTAAATATTCATGTTTTATTTGTATTTATATGTGTGTGTGCGCATTTGCAGGAGATCGACCCCAGCTTGGGTGTGGCCGAGCTCCCGGACGAGTTTTTTGAAGAGGACAACATGCTGAGCATGGGCAAGAAGATGATGCAGGAAGCCATGAGCGCTTTCCCGGGCATCGACGAGGCCATGAGCTACGCGGAGGTCATGAGGTCAGGCGGTGTAACAAACAAACATAAACAAACACAAATGACTCTTGCGACCACCCTTCTATAGCCTCCCATTTTTCAATAGGTTCAGTAGTGGCCTAATGGTTAGGGATGCCTGTGGTCGGAAGGTTGCTGGTTCGAATCCCTGAACAGCAAGGTACCGCCCCCATGTACTGCTCCCTAGGTGCTAAATAATAGCTACCCCCTGCTATATTACACATGGGTCAAATGCAGATGGTATTGTGACGATGTTTAATAATGACAGATTCTTTGAGTGGTGCCATTCAGGCCTATGGCGATGTGACTCTTCACTGGTGTCCTCCCCACGCCAGGTTAGTCAAGGGGATGAACTTCTCGGTGGTCGTGTTTGACACGGCCCCCACTGGGCACACGCTGCGCCTGCTGAACTTCCCCACCATTGTGGAGCGAGGGCTCGGGAGACTGATGCAGATCAAGAGTCAGATCAGCCCCTTCATCTCGCAGGCAAGTACGGCGCCACAGTATGGGGATGCCTGTGTTTTGTTTTTTTTTTTGTTTTGTTCTCCTCACGCCCCTCGTTTTGCCTCCCTTGTAGATGTGCAACATGCTAGGATTGGGAGACATGAACGCCGACCAGCTGGCCTCCAAACTGGAGGAGACTTTGCCCGTGATCCGCTCTGTCAGCGAGCAGTTCAAGGACCCGGTGAGTCTTCAGGGATCTCTCCACGTCTGCCAGTGCCTGGGGGGTTGATAGGTGATGCCTCGGGGGGGGGCTCTGGATCCAGGATCCGCTGTCGGTGTTTCTCAGTGCCGCGCTGTTCCGGCTGTGACGCCCCCCGGGTCTGTGCCCCCCCCCCCTGCATCTTCCCTCAGGAGCAGACCACCTTCGTCTGCGTGTGCATCGCTGAGTTCCTCTCGCTGTACGAGACGGAGCGGCTCATCCAGGAGCTCGCCAAGTGCCACATCGACACGCACAACATCATCGTCAACCAGCTGGTCTTCCCAGATACCGACCGGCCTTGCAGGATGTGCGAGGCGCGCCACAAGATCCAGTCCAAATACCTGGATCAGGTAAGGGTCCATTTTATCTACACTTCCTCTAGTCATTTCCAGCAGAAGGATCTTGTTTCCTTAAGCGACTGAGTCATTGCCTGCAAGTGGCTTCTATTTAGATATTTTTTGTGTAGAAGATACTAGGAGACCTGCTTTTTTAATACCAACTTTTTAGATCCTAGATCAGTTGGTTAATATCTCTCCTTGGCTGCTGATTAGACCCAGTCAATCAGGTTAGAGTTCAATGTTCAGACCTGATTGGTGGTGGTGAGTGAACAGTGCCGGCCGCTTACGGGGAGCGTGAACTACGGGTTAACTCCTATCGTGAAACGATCATTGCAATTTAATCCAGTCCCCTTTAGTCCTGATTCTGGTTAGCGGTACATTCCATTAGCCACTCTGTGCTTCACAAAAATTACATCAGGGGTGGAAAAAATCAGTAGTTTTTCGTTCTGGGCGGCCAAGCTATGCTTACAGATCCCAGCGGACTACCAGATGTTTTTGGATTACCTCAAAGCAGTCAGGGAAAATAGAGAGAGAAAGGACAAGCGCTGATAGGGAGGAGGCAGAGGTGAACACATGCTTCATCATGGATATAGACATAGGGAAGTTCTATGCGCCGGATCAACATCAGCAATCAAAAGGAGTCAACACTACAATCAGTATTCTGGCAAAAATAAGCGGAGAGTGCCTTTCCCATTGCACTGGAAGGACTCCTTCAGCCAGTTAAATATGCTGTAAATTTCCCAGGCAGTTACAAAGAAGGCTGAACCTCTTGCTGACTATGAGGTAATGTGGGCTGCAGCAGAGAGATCAGCATGACTCGGGGACAAAGTCAAAACATGTGCACGTTTTAAGGTGTTGTTAAGAAAAACAAAAATTGATTTGGCAGAGGAGTTAGCATTTTGCTTGCACATTCTACCGATAAAGCAGTAATTTAACAGGAAGTGATTTTATTTAAGGTCTGGCCATGAATACAGTGAACCTGTTCTTGCACTAATCAGCATCTAAGATCTATCTGATGTATCAGGACCCCTAAGAAGAACGAACTCTGGCCTGTGCTGTTTTGGCCTGTCCTTGGAAAAGCCCCGTCCTCAGTTAGCTGAGTAACCAAGTGTTAGTAAGTGTGATGCGGCTTCTGGCTGGACTATCCCAGAGGGCAGAACCGTCAGTGCTGCAGGTCATATCGCTTCGTGTGTGGATCGCAAACTCAGACTTGTGCGATTAACTTGTTTAGGTACCTTCTTGAGTGTAAGAGAATTGTGAAAAAGGATGTTTTGCTACTTTCCAAGAAGTTACATTCTTACACAAGTATGTGAATGGAAAAAATAGCAATATTAAGCCAGTCTGGTTTGTGTCAGCGACACTGAGCTGTAACTGTTACGCCTCATCTTGTTGCAACTCGGAGCGTATGAGCAGGAGTCTGAGAAGGTCGGGGCCAGGCTGCTTCTGAAGACCATGTCGCTCGACAGACTGGGCCAGTCTTCTGTCCCCCAGGCCATACAGCTCTATAGCGCCTCACAGAGGCGGAAGAGCGAATTGGACTTCTAGGCATGAGGGTGCTTCTGGTTCCCTCTGCATTTTTAATGTCTGCGGTTTTCATGCTTTTCAGAGTTTGTGTATTTTATAGAGTACATATTTTTACACATATCTCATTATCTCATACTTTATGTATATTTCATATATATTTGAAATATTTACTGTTATGTATGTTACATATATATTAGGTTAAACCAGGGGTGGCCAATCTTATCCGCAAAGAGCCGGTGTCTATGTGGGTTTTTGCTGCAGCTCCCCAATTATATTACCAATTAGAGGACTGATTGGCTGAGGAGTCCTTACCCCTGGGTTTGAACAGCTGACCTAAAGCTTACACCAAATACCTGCATACAAACCGGCCCTTTGTGGATAAGATTGACTACCGCTGGGTTTATATATATATATATGTGTGTGTGTGTGTGTGTGTGTGTGTGTGTATGTGTATGTGTATATAAAAATGTATAATGTATAGTAGCAGCCACTACTCCCCTCGCACCCTGAGCCCCTTCACCCTCTACATCGGCGATCCTTGTGTTTTATTCCATTAAACGTCTGTATTCTTGTCTCTACCATTGTGTTTTTCAAGCTGCTGCCTAAATTTCCTTTGGAAAGAATGAAGTATCTGTCTGAATCCATCTATCGGTCCGAATCTATATCTGTCACTATTAGTCTTTGGTTATTTTCTTCAGTTAGTGCAAGATTTCTCAGCTGCTTTCATGGACGTTTCCCTTGAGCTTCAGAGTTACGCTTTACCTCAAGTTATGGTAGCTCTCCGATTCCTCAGGGAAACATGACTTGATCTGACAGTGAGTGGTGGAGACAGAACATGGAACCAATCTTTGTAATGGCTGAATTAATCTTCTCCCTCCCGCCGTCACAGATGGAGGACTTGTATGAGGATTTCCATATTGTCAAGTTGCCCCTGCTTCCCCACGAAGTGAGGGGGGGCGACAAGGTCAACAGCTTCTCCAAGCAGCTCCTGGAACCTTACACCCCCCCCAGCAAGTGACTCACCTCTGCGCCCGAGTCCCCAAGGGAATGGAGGAAACCGTATCTCCCAGACCAAATCCCAGGCGAGATCTACCAAGGAGAGAGACTGTTGGATTGCATGTTCACTGGACCTTCTTTCTTGATACACCTTATTTCTGAATGGCCTCTTTCGTTCTATATATCTAGAGAATGTGTCAGTTTCCATACAGTATCTGAGTGACCTTTCTTAAGCACAGCTGAGAAATGTTTTAAGTACTAAGTATTGAATCTTTGTTGTCGAAATCACACTAACTTATGTTCCTACAGAGATTAATTTATCTATTTATTTGAAGTGATTGATTAAAGTTTGGGAAGAATAAAGCACTGAATCGTGGTCATCCAGCATATATAGTCTTATAGCAAAAAAAAACAACAGTAATGACCAACGGCTAAGAAGGAGTGGTATTATGATTGTGTTAATGTCCCTTTTACCTCATTGTTAGTAGCTGTTCTGATATGTATCAAAACTTGGTAGAAAATGTCATGGAGTTGCCATTCAAGCTTTGTGTTCTGCAACCCTGAGTCTCCCTTCAGATGGTTTAATTCCCCTGGTTTGCTTTTGAGAAGTTGGTTGTTTTTATGAACAAATAAAAAAATCGTTGGTGTTCAGGAGAGCAGCTGGTGCAGAGGTCAGACACTGGTGATCACTTACATTAAACTCTACAACAGACACCGTAGCACTGTCGATTGGTGAAGATGGGTGGTATTCTTTGGGAACGATTTTATGTCCATTTCTTTTTAAGTGGTTTTGTTGCATCAACTGAATGATGAATGTTGCGAAAATCAAAAATTGCATAATATCGGGAACAGTGAGTTGGGCGCTGCCGTCCTGTCTTGCTTGGATCCCCTCGTTGCGGTTTCCGGCGGTGTAACATAACCGGCCCCGTCCTGCCGGAGAGTCGTGCGGCAAGGCGGCCAGACGGAGCGAGCAGACGTGCGGCGGGGCGGCCTCGCTTCCTCCGACGCCCGGGCCAGCCGGCGCTGCGGGACGTGGCGCGGTGACCCGCAGATTTACAGTGACAAGCTCCAAATTAGCGGGAGACTTTTATCCATGCTTAACAACCTGAACAAACAAGCGTCCCCGCCGAGCTTATACAGTGGATTATGTCGGATCTTTGGTGGGGAAAGTGTAAACTACAGGGAATAGAACCGTGCGACGTATGTTTGCTTAGATGGGTCTCAGGCGGGATTGATCCTCACTTAAACATTATGCGCTGGCATTTACGTTTAAGCTGGTTCATTATTTTCCCGTGTGGATGTAGTGATCATGTGTGTATTTTCTTTTCTTTTTTTTTACTGCAGTCTGTCGTTTGCGGTTATTGCGATGGCGAAGCGCGGCGCCCCGGCAGGCTGGAGCAGTGGGAGGCAGCGCTAACGAGCTCCGCGGCGATCCGCTTTAAAGGAAACGCCGGGCTCTTTCTGGGCAGTGAATCGCCTCATTTATGTGGTTTAATTCTTCTTCGCACGCTTGTTATACTTGAGTTGTCGTTTTCGTCCGTCGCGGTAATTACTCTTAATGCACCCGTGAACTCTCAACCTCTGAACCTCAATGAGTATTATGACCCGAAATGTTGAAATAAAACATTAATTAAGGCGAGCGATCCCATCACACCTGTGTGGGCTGTCATCGCGCTTTATATAATTGGGACTTGTAATGAAAGGCCATATAAAATAAATTTCGTTTTTAACGTAGGCTACTATATACTGATTTATGTCATAAAGTTGTCCAAGTAACCAAATACTTCAGTACCCGGTAATAGGCGCGCATATAGGCCTATATAGACATACATAAAACCATATTTCCAAAAAAAAATTGGGACACTGTAAAATGTTAATAAAAACAATGCAGTGATTCACAAGTCATTTAAAGCCATATTTAACAGAAAATAGAAGAAAAACATATCAAAAGTTGAAACTTAGATATTGTATTTTTTATGACAAATATATGCTCAATTTGAATTTGATATCAGCAACATATTTAATAAAAAGCTGAGTCAGGAGCCTGCAGACTGCTGAGTCGCGTCCTCTGTCCTGTTAACAGCACTCTGTAACGTTTGGGAACTGAGGAGAGCAGTTGCTGGAGTTTTGAAAGTGAAATGTTGTCCCATTATTGCCTGATACAGGATTTCTCCTCCTCAGCACGTCAGGTCACCTTTATCATTTTTTTCATTTCACGATGTGCCGATTATATAATTAAATGAGCTAAGGCACAGAGAAGTCAGAGGCGTGTCTGGATTAGGTTTAGATCTGGTTTCTTCTTTGCATGGTAGAGTTTCATCCTGTATTTGTGGATGTGGTGATGAACTGTGTTTGCAGACAATGGTTTTTTGGAAGTCTTCCTGTCCCCATGCAGTGATTTTAACGCAGTGCTGTCTGACGACCCGGAGATCATGCTATACAATATTGGTTTTTGGCCTTTTGCTCTTGCGTACAGAGACTTCTCTGGATCATCTGAATCTTTTAATGATATTATGTACCGTACATGATGAAATTCTTTAACTGTTTGCAACATCACGCTGAAGAACATTATTCTTAAATAGTTGCACTACTTTCCCATGCAGTTTCCCATCTCCCCATCTTCACCAAACAGAGACTTGGCCTCTTTGGAAGGCCTTTATACCCAATCAGCTTACTGAGCTGTTGCCAATTAACGTAATTAGTCGTGAGATATTCAACTAGGTGTTTTTTTTCTCTCAACTTTTCCAATCTTTTGTTGCCCCTGTCCCAACTTTTTTTCAAATGCGTTACTGGCATCAAATTCAAATTGAGCATATATTTCTCAAGAAACAATAAAATTTTCCTCAGTTTCACATTTGATATGTTGTTTTTGTTCTATTTTCAATTAAATATGGGTTTATATGATTTGCAAATCATTACATTCGGTTTTTATTTACATTACATCCAACTTTTTTGGAAATGGGGTTGTACATGCGTGCGCACACACACACACACACACACACACACACACAGAGTTGTACCTCTAAGAGTTATAGACCCCAGCTCACCACCCCTTCCCAATCTCTTTTCCTTCTTTCCCTCTCTCTATGTCTCTCCCCCACTCACACACACACACAACATTCTTGTGCTTAAATCAGTCCCTCTGGTACACAGCCAGGGTACAGATTGGATAGTAGGATCAGTGATTCAGGTCAGACAATTGCAGCATTTTTGGATTTTTTTGCCAACGACAGAAGTTGACTACTGGGAAATGAAAGCATTCAGTAGATAAAATACTTTCTGCTACTTGTAAAATTAATCATTTATTTGCAAGCAATCTCATATTGGGTTCAGTACCATAGGGGACCCTGCATGCAGTTTGCATTATTGTTATATTCATAATCATAATGTTCACGAATATAGTTCAGATTTAATTATTCTTGGGAAACTGTAAAAATAATCTTTATGCTTATTTGTGAATTTGTGGGTTGTACATCTTAAAAACCCATGTTAACGTGTTTTTTTTTTCAGTTGCACAGAAATCTACACAGGAACTAAAACGTGGAGACGGGTCCGTTTAAAGGCTACCATTTCTTATGCTGTGGGTATATCTTTGCACTATTGATTCATTTCCAGCCAGTAAAATCCGTCGTCTCCCACGGCCTCCCCTCCTGTCCCTGCACCATGACGGTCACCTACACGGCCAAAGTGGCCGACGCCCGCTTCTGCGGCTTCTCCAAACTGCTTTTCGCCTGGAAAGGAAGCATATACAAGGTGCTGTACAAGGAGATCCTCGGGTTCTTCACAGTGTACACAGCCATCAGCATCACTTACAGGTGGGTGCCATTTTGATGCCTGATGACATTAATAATTTCAGTATTATTGTCATTCTTGGATTACCCTCTTCTGGATTTGATGCTTAAAAGTTAAAATGAAGTAATAAGACTACACTTCATAAGCTAGAGTTGATTATTAAAGTACGGATTCAATAATTAAAAATGTAGTGATGTATATTTGATATTTTTATGTACCATAAAAGAGGAGTGAGCAATTTAAAGCCTGCATGACTGCAGTAGCTTGTAGGCAGTATGTGCAGGAGCGTCTCAGCGACGCATGTCGTTTTTCGCATCCCTGCTCAGATTGTTTCTGCTGGAGGACCAGAAGAGGTACTTTGAGAAACTTGCGATCTATTGCAACCACTACGCCAGCCTGATCCCCATGTCTTTTGTGTTAGGTAGGGTGAGTACCGGCGGTTAAACTGGGCAGAGTAGCGCATGTCGGATGAATGCCGAATTTGCCGATTCTGCTCTGCGCTCCTGCCGTGCAGGTTTCTATGTGACACTCGTGGTGAACCGGTGGTGGAGTCAGTACACTTGTATCCCGCTGCCCGACCGGCTCATGTGCGCCCTGTCGGGGGGGCTGCAGGGCGGCGACCCGCGGGGCCGCCTTCTCCGGCGCACCATGATGCGCTATGCCAGCCTGTCCTCGCTGCTCATCCTGCGCTCAGTCAGCACCGCCGTCTTCAAGCGCTTCCCGACCATGGATCACGTCGTAGAAGCCGGTAGCCCAACGATGGATGGATGGATGGATGGATGGATGGATGGATAGGCTTTAATCTAATAATTGACAAGTTCTGGAGTTTTTCCACCTTAAAAACATTTCACATACATCTGGTGTTGAACCACATGCCATTAAATAATTAGAAGTGGAAAGTTCAGGTCCAGAAAGTATAAATCCGGACCAAGGTTTTGTTTCCAGTTGAGTCTAAGACTCGTGGTCACAGAGTCTGTGATTCTCATGATTCTCATCAACCTCATTTCCAAAACCTCTGTATCATTACCGCAAAGGTGTCCATTTAATGTTAATTTAATAAATCAAAAAATAGTAGTTTGCTTTTAAATGCATGTGCAGAATCTATATGCTGTGTCCCTTCAGGTTTACCACATTATTTTAAAAATATATGTTTCAGTGAAATACAAAAAAATTAGGTTGCAGTAATGACAAAAATCAGTCAAAATCAAATAAAAATGTTAATTTAAAAATATACATTATTTCAGAGTTTCAAGTAACTCAGCATGACTGCTAATGAGCATGACTGTCAATAAGCAATTTTTAAAATTGTGAAAATGTATTGGCTTTCTTAATGGTCTTGATGTTTTCAGACTGATGTGGTAATGAGATTTTTAAGGACTTGTTTTGGGAAATGTTAAAAAAAACGTAAAATTTTCTGTAAATGATTTTAAATTTACCTTTACAGACATTTCAGACTTGGTTATTAATGGCTAAAAAAAAAAGAAATTTGTTGATGCAAGTGTTTTTAAATACTTCATGTTTGAAATCTTCGAAACCAAGATTTTGTGAGAATTACCCTCAGATTATACTCAACTGCTTGGTTGAAACAAAACTTTGGTCTGGATTTATACTTTCTGGAAACATCTCTGGAAATAATTACATCTGTATTTGTTCTTAAGCAGGATCTTCAACCTGTCTGTACTGTATATGGAAAATTGTGTCCTTGGCACAACGTGTCTGTGTTCTGGGCAAAATGTTTTGATTGAGAAAAAAATACCTAAGCTCCTTTTTTTAAACACACCGGCTACATCCTAAAACCTGGCTTCCTCGCTTCGGCCCTCAATGACTCGCTGTCTCAAGTTGAAAGTTCATGAGGCTGACGAGGGAAGGACAAAGTGAGAGGCGAACTCAGGGACTGCAGCCTTCGAATGTTCACACGATGAATCTTGGGATCTCGGCAAAAGAATGGAGCATTTCTAGGCTGTATTGGAAGGAAGCCATCAATGTGGGACGGGTTTGCCACGTCGCTGTGATGCCTGCCATCTTTGAATGCAGTCTTACACGTATGCGGCTCCTGAATTTGGACACAGCTAGTTAGGGAGGAAAGCAGCACCGACAAAAAGTGGCATCAGGACACAGTTCTTGGCTCTGGTAGCCCATTGCATTTCGATCAAAATGTCCATCAGAATTCTATGAGAACTATTAATATCCTAATAATACACAGCTACAGATAGATATGTGTCTCCGGGCACAGCACTGCTGCCTCACACCTTCAGGGCTGGGGGCCACTTACACTCTGGAAGACCAAACCCATGCAGTTACGCTAATTGGCATCTGTAAATTGCCCTTTCTGCATGTGCGCTGCAATGGGCTATTATGCTACTATTTTTGCTTAAGCCTGTCTCTCCATCCTTTGTTTAGGCTTTATGACCAGAGAGGAGAGGAAGAAGTTTGAGGGTCTTCAGTCACCTTATAATAAATACTGGATCCCCTGTGTGTGGTTCACTAACCTGGCAGCTTCTGCTCGCTTTGAGGGCCGCATCAGAGATGACATCACTCTGAAGTTACTGCTGGAGGTACGGGGACACCGCTGAGGAGGGGCCGACTAGAAAAGAATAGAGCTGATATGGCAGCAAAACACAGATGCACTTGAGTTTGGACAAATAAAGCGAAGCCCTGCTTTGGTAAAACTTTACTTGAGGAGGACACAAATAATGTAATATTATGCTTAATGATATTACTTATGCATTAATCACACGTTAAGTGTTAGTTATAAACTGACCTCATTAATGAATTGTCACACGTTTTATCTCAAGCAAGTACTATATTTGTTACTAAATCTGTTAATTCTATAAACCTTTGTGAACTACTGAAGGAACAAGTCACGAATAACACTAGTGAAATACTGAGCTCATCTTTGTTCATCATTAATGAATCATGACGCATCTTTCATCTTAAGTAGTGACTGTATTTGTTCATGAGTTGTACTTCAGTAGTAACTGAGATACTGCTAATTAACATCTGTTTCAACAGGAGCTCAATGTGTTTAGAGGGAACTGCAGCATGCTGTTTCACTATGACATGGTCAGTGTGCCTCTGGTGTACACACAGGTTAGTATGTGTGCTCAGGGTAGCTCTGCTGGTCACATGACTTAAAGTTAGCATGGCCTAAACATCCTGAATGACGCAAAGACCTCTGGGTGGTGACCTGGACATTTCATTACCCTGTTACTCCCATGCCATTTCAGTTGTCTAGAACCGTTTTGCCCGTTTAGACAGCATTGAAAAACAGCATCCTGATTTAAGTGGCATTGTAAGCATCCATGCTTTTTGATCTAACTGCAGAATCTCATCAGGAATTTAACCCCCTCTCAGAAGTAAACAGAATCCCCTCCCCTATCTCGGCCTGGCTCAAACTCGCCTTTCCTCCAGGTTGTCACCCTGGCAGTGTACGGATTCTTCCTAGTGTGCCTTGTTGGTCGGCAGTTTCTGGACCCTGCCCAAGGCTACCCAGGACACGAACTCGACCTCTATATTCCAATTTTCACCCTGTTGCAATTCTTTTTCTACGCCGGCTGGCTGAAGGTATGAGCAAATATCATTGACTCAGACTGGCAGTTTCCCATGGCAAAAACCAATAAACTAAAGCAGAGACATCTGGACGCTCTCTTAGGTTGCAGAGCAACTCATTAATCCCTTTGGTGAGGATGATGATGATTTTGAGACCAACTGGTTAATTGACAGAAACTTTCAGGTACCTTTTCACTCTTTATATTTGGGGTCAGAATATTGACAATATGTTTAATGAATGAAGTAATCCTTTATCTGCCATTTGCACAGGTACATGGGAATATGCTTCTTCTTTCATATCCCATCTTGCTCTCCTTCAAGACATACTAACGTAGTTGAGAGTGAAACTCAGGGTCTGGGTGCAGAATCAGGCCATTTTTCTGGGGCATTTCTGGGGGTTAGGGGCCTTGCTCAAAGGTCTAGCGAGTATGTGGTAATTCTATCAAGGCTTGAACCAGCGATCTTTCGATCACACACACAAGCTTAACCTGCTGCGTCACACACTCTTTTTGACCATTTCAGGACCAGCCATGGAAAGGCCTTTCTCTAGCTCTGTTGGAAATGACCCACACGCTGGTTGTGTTCACACCTCCAGGTGTCCATGATGGCTGTGGATGAGATGTACGGCGACCTGCCCGCCCTGCAAAGGGACCGCTACTGGGACGACTGCAATCCGAGGCCACCTTACACAGCCGCCACACGCTCTGTCCCCCGCAAGCCCTCTTTCCAGGGCTCCACCTTTGACATGGTGTGAGTTCCAGCTGATTTTTGCATTAGTCATCAAAGAAAACTGCCTGCCATGGGTTCTGCATTTATTTTTAATTGCTACTCCTGCTTCAGGATCGAATAAAGCTGCTGTACATCTGTCAAAACGATTTACTCGGAACCGAATCAGAATCCTTACAATGTTATAAGCAGAAGTCAGGTTTATTAAGTTCCGGAATTAATTCTCTCGTTCAGAATTCCCAAAGAGGAGATGGTCTTCCAAAGCCTGGGGGGTATTGTAGAGAACCTGGAGGAGTCCGAGAGCGGAAACCCCAACCTGTCCCTCCTGAAACACGTTCTGAACGATGGGCCGACTCCGTCTGGCCTTATGGGAAACGCACCCCCCAACGCCTCGTCCCCACTGCAGACGCGTGGTCACCCCCAAACATCACCCCTGCCCAGCACTGATGACGACAGTGACAGATTCCAGACTCTTGGCACCAACCAGGATACCAGAAGCACCATCTATAGCTATGTGGACACCACCAGCCCCAGCAGGGCACTGGGGTTTGATGAGTGTCAGGAAGCAGCTGGGAAGGTGAGAGCAGAAGGTGGGAAATCCACGATAATGGTGGAGGAAGAGCATAGCAATGTGATGCAGGGGAGAGCAGCGACGACCTCTAACCAAACACCTCCTCTTCTGGTTTCTCCACCTCCTACGCATGATGACTCACTCGCGCAGAGTGCAGCACAAGCCTCTGGCCCGTTAGCTCACGGTTCCCTGACCTGGTACTTCCAGCAGGGTAGCTTCTCGCGCCCCATCTCCCTCAGGATCGAGGAACAGTGTCCGACCCCCCGCAGTGCTACTCCATGCTCCGTCCAGGACTTCTTCGCTATCCAACCAATCGGTGAGCAACTCAGTGTCAGACCTAGCCTTCCTACTGGAACCACTGGGAACAAATCAGGACCAAATTTCCTTACGGTTCCATGCTTCGATGTCACAGCTTCCCAGGAACGCCAGTCTCCCACACTGCCACACTGATCATCCTGAGACAGTTATATGGGTCAGAGGTCAACACTGAGGACAAACAACTTTGGTGACCGCAGGCTCCATTTTTCCCCCGGAAAAAAAAAAAAAAGATTAGATAAATGCACTGAAAACCTTTCATTTTGAAGACGAATGGTAGAATATTGACCTACCACCACCACGTGGAAAAAGCCCATTGTGTTGGGCTGTATGTTCTTTCAGACGTCACATGACACGTGTGACAGTACAGGGGAAGACAGACTGCTGATGCTCTCAGTTACCAAAGCAAACAGCCTGATAACTATTAACAGCAGTAGCTACATCACCCACTTCATTCTTAGGCGTTTGGTATGGAAAGTGATCATTTTAAATACGAAGAAGGCTGCATGTACCTAATCGGTGATTCCTGAACACGCTGTAAAAGTAGTTATGGGATAAGAGGATCACACAGAAATAAACAAGGACATTCTGGTACTTAGGGTCTGTTTTATTTGTAGTGTGGATAACAGAAAACAGACATGCTAGAGTTGTAAAACCACCTTGGAAGGATAAAAACAAACAAATCTGTAGCTGAATCACAACAAAACAGTTTCCATAAGTTTGTGGGGCGGCAACAGCCAACATCCCCCCCCCCCGAAGCCAGAGCAGCAGCTGGCAAGCAGGGGGTCCCCCAAAGGTCACCACCCCCCACCCCCATGGAAGCAACTACAGCATCACATCAGGAGAACAAGAGACAAAAAGGAATTTGGGGGTGATTGCAGGGGGGGGGGAGATATCAGCATGTTAAGCAAAGCAAGAAAGAAAAAAAAAACCACAAGCAAAGACAAACAACAAAAAAAAAACTCCAAGCATTTAAACTTTGGTTTCAATGGTGAAACATCAATGACAATGATTCAGACAAAGTAAGGAGCAGGACAGGAAAACCGGGGACGTATCAAACAGTCAAAGGGCAGCCATCCAGTGTACCTGTACTTCTAAAGTACATTTCAAAAGGCTCCCATACATCCACAGCATAGTACCATCATCTACAGCTGCCACACATCAGTGACATAAGCAGCCTTTAGTCTTCCAGTTAAAATGAGTCACGTCGGAAGGCCAGTGTACTGTCTAATACAGTGCATACTGAGAGACGGTCAGTTTTCATAGTAATATTCAGAGCAAAATATGCTATAAAAAGTGCCTGATGATCATGACGGATACTGCATGGAAAATTTGCCTGATCTGTACAGGACATGTACGGAAAGTGCACATTTAAAAGCCACCAACTGATTTCATCATCAGTAGTATTTTTTTTTTTAAAGAGTAAAAACAATCACCCCAGTAAAACGAACTACTCAGTAATTGCTACTTGGTAATTACTTTAAAATTCCTACCAAAAACCCCATAAAGGCAAAGGTCCTGTAGTTGCAGGATTTTTAGCGAAACCCCCCCCCCCCTCTCTAAAAGATAGTGTCTCTAGCCGAAATCATTAAGGTGCCACGTTCCTTCACTGTAAGTAGTGTACTTTACAAAGACCACAGTAGGTAAAAGGACACGCGGCGGCCCCACCCACCATGGATTATCACAAGCGAAGCCTTTTCCTGACCGTGGGAAGAGTCCAACCAGCGCCACCAAGTCACAGACTCTCAGCGTCTGCATTTACCTTGATGGGCCAGTAGGGGGAAGCAGCACACCACAAAAAAAATGTACAGCAGGGAGGGAAATAGTGGAATAAAACCAAATAAAAACAGCAAATACTTATTGTGGTTATGGTAGTAGGGGCCAAGTAAGGAAAATAAAATGCTTTACGTCGTGTTGTGCCACTATACTCCGCCTCAAACCATGAAACCTTTTCCCCAATATGCTCCCTGGAACAAGGGGCTCATCGGTGCTGCAGCCTGGCAGAGAGGCTGCGCCTGGCGTAGGTGGCCTGCCTCTGCTGGGCTAGGAAGGACTGCGCCTGACCTGGCGACCCAGAGCGCTCACCCACGACCTTCTGGTGGAGAGCCATGCCCTGCAAGAACGAAGGGTCTAAGGTCAAGATGAGGCTTCTTCCACACAAGCGGCTCCCGCCGGCCGACCGCTACTCACCATGTTGTACCAGGCGCTGATGATCAGCTTCTCCTCCTGCTCGTGTCTGGATTTGGACTTCTCAAAGTCCTGCTGTACGTCAGAAGAGGGAGCATCATTTCGAGGACGTTCGGCGAGTCTCAAACAGCACCGTGATTGAAATACGTGCCACAGGTACCGAGGTCTCATACCTCGAGGTAGTGGATCTTCTTCTCCTTCTCATTTAACTGGTTCCTGAGAGTCTGCACCTCTGGAGAGCTGGACTTTTTCTTGGGGTCCACTGCCTTTATCACCTACAAGTTCCATAAACCACGGACACTTTTCACTGACATGGTGGACTGACCAGCACAGAAGGGTCGACTCCCTTGCTGGTTAGATCTACACACTGACCGTCTGAGCCTTCTCCACATACTGCTGGTAGCGCTGCTCCATCTGCTTCATGTCCTCATCCTTCTTCTTCAGGATCTCCTGCAGCTCGCTGATCTTCTTGGCCACTGAAATGCAGGGAGACAGGAAATGAGCGGGACAGGCGGCGGGTGGGAGCGGCCATGACGGCCCCCGGGGCGGAGAGGCCCTCACTGTTGTTATCCACGCCGGGCTCCAGGTCGTCGATGACCTCCTTCTTCTTCTGCAGGTCCGAATGGGCTTCATGAAGCTTCTCCCTAGCAACAACCCAGGTTTGGAACATGAGCACCTGTCATGCGGGATCAAGCAGTGATGGGGGGAGGGGGGTGATGTAAATTATGAGGAACCATGTACTCACAGGTGCTCTTCCAGTTTCTTCTTCAACAAGGAGGACTGTACAGGGAGGGGCAAGACAGGGAAGGAGGATTAGCACACGAAAGAAAGGATCCCAGGACTGGGGGGGGGGTTACGGTCAGCGTGCGCTGGGGAGGTACTTACAATGGCCTGTGAAGTGAACGGCATTCAAATTCGGACAGGCGAGGGAGAGCGGAGGAGAGATCAGGCATTAGTGGTGATTTACACAGCAAACAGGTTATGATTTTTTTGGGGGGAACACTGGCAATGACAATCACAAAGAGGAAGTGACACGCCATGTGATCAGAAGGGAGGGGGGCATTCAGGAAGCTCCACTCCTGGGGGGCCAAGAGCACCTGCGGGCTTTGAGAACATAAAAAAAATAAAAATAAAATAATGCCCCTTTAAAACACAAAGCAGAAAAAAAATAATTGAAAAACTGAATATAAATCAAATCAATTTCAGGATGTGTGGTGTAGCATTAAAAATTAATGCATCTCATACCTGAATTGTTCATTTTTGCTAAATATTACTCAAGGCCCCCCAAGACTGGAAAGAATGAGCGCATGGCTCTTCAGATCAAACAGGGCAGGAAGTCCCGCTCTGGATTTGGCACCCAGACTGATCACTGCCGCCTTCACCGTCTTCTGGCTTTGCGGCAAGCCATGGACTCGGGGGGGGGGGGGCTCACACTCACATCCTCCGCCTTGCTGCCCTGCTCCTGCAGCGCCCCCTGCAGCTCCCCCACCTGACTGTGCAGCTCGCCGATCTGCTGCCGGTCCAGCCTGGAGGAGGGGAGATGCGCACGCACACGCACACGCACGCACACACACACACACACACACACACACACACACACACACACACACGCACAGCTGTCACACGCCGCTCGCCGGCCAGCACGCTGCCCACGGCCGGGCTCACACTGTCGTCAGTGGATCAGAAAAAAGCTGCACTCCTACTCAGTAACACACACGATCATCTGGCACCGGTGCCGTCCAGCCTGGCCCACGCAGACCCGCTCTGCTGCTCTAGAGAATGCGAACACAGGCTTCCCGCCACTCCGGATCGCCCGGCACCGACGCCCCACGGTGGCCTGCCTCCCCACGGCGGCCTGCCTCCCCGGGGGGCTGCCGGAAGGTGCCCGCGCACCTGTTCTGGGTCTCCAGGGTGTTGTGTCTCCGCTGTGACTCCTCCAGCTGGCTCTGCACCTCAGCCAGCTGCTGCCTGTAGCTCTCCTCCTGCGCACACAGCATCCTGTTCTCGCTCTGCAGCCGTACCACCGTCTCCCTGGGGGGCCGCAGCGGGGGGGGGCAGCAGAGACCATTTGCACAAGGGTGTTAATTTACTCCTTAATCCAGAAGCGGCCCCATCCGTGCCCCAGGGATCCGGAAAGATGTTGCCATCCAGAAGGTGTCACATTACAGAAAACAATGTGTGCACGTGCTTTTGTTTTTTTTCTTTTGGGGGGGGGGGGGATTTTAAGGGGCTTACTTGAACTCTGTGGGCATGATCTCGGAAGCCAGGTTTCCCACAGTGGAAGCCGAGTCATCACACAGGCCACCTCCAGGGGGAGACAGAGAGCAGAATATGACGCGGATAGACGCCTGCCAAAGGAAGGGGGCGGGGGATGCAGGTGCGCGGCTCTCCGGCAGCCTTACCCGATTGGCTGAGAAACTTCTGCTGCACCTGCGCACAGCGGAGCTCCTCGTTGGTCTCGCGCAGGGTGTCCCGCTCCGAGATGAGGCGCTGTGAAGGGACACGCGGGTCACGGCACGGGGACGCGCCCCGACACAGCAGCGCCTGATGAGGGTGCCGGCTGCATCGGCCTTTTTTACATGGTGAATGAGATGCACCAGACTGGTAACCTGACGGCAGCTCTGCCTATGACAGCCTCAAAGCCAGTGAAGTATGAAAATGAGTTTGTACAGATGCTGACAGCGTCTCTGGGCCAAGCAGCTGTTAGCAGCTGCGATCTTCATCTCCGCAAATGTTAATTATTAGTCTATAATGTAACTACAAAACAGTAAATATAGCAAGTTAGAAAAAAGGATTCCAAGTCCCCTGTCTATTCTCCTGTATGTGTAGTAGGCAAATGACAATGTCTTTTCTTCAAGATCAAGCATAGCTGAGCTGAGATATTTCTTCACAAGGTAAAACCAGGCCAAGGAGATCCTTTTGTATGGCAGTATACAGGTTTGGGGGGGGGGGGGGGGGCTGTATGCAGGAGTGCCACTTTATTAACACTCAGACCAGAGTAATCGGTGCTAGAGTCCACTCGGAGTGTTAATTTAAAGCAGCAGTGCACCCTTTCTCCCACACATCCAGGACCACAGCTGCCAAAGTGCTCCTCCAGTTCACAGCAACTTGTCTCGCTCTGGAGAATCACCCCCCCCCTCTCAAGCAGGACCCTCCCACAGCTTTCCAGCCCACGCCACCGTGAGGAGCAGCCGTGGGGAGCGAGAGGACCTCACCTCCTTCTCCTTCCGCAGGGCCTCGTACTTGTCGTGGAGGTTATTGTACTCAAACTGCCACTTCTCCGCCTTCAGAGCCTCCGACATGTGCTTGGCGTGCAGCTCCTGAACCTTCGGCGCGCACAGTGGGGGAGGGGGGAAGGATTACTGTGCCATTCTCCCAGCAAGACAAAGATATCCCTGCCCCCTCACTGCAGCGAGGCCATTCCAAACAAAAGCTTCACTGTACAATGCCAATAAATAAATAAATAAAAGATTCTTGGCCTTTGTGGCTAAAGCAAACTGACCCCTGATAGTGTACGGCGATGTTTCTGAATGTGGCTCGGCTCCGGTCCGCGCCGGCGCCCCCTACCTGGCTCTTGTAGGCGTCCAGCTGGCTGCGCACTGCACCACTGCGCCGCTGCTCTTCCTCCAGCTCGCAGGTGCGCTGCATGTACACCGTGTTGCGCTCCTCCAGCAGCCGCACCTGCCGGCGCAGGTCGCCCAGGTCCTCCAGTTTGCGCTTGTACGTGTCCACCAGTGCCTCCAGGCCGCCGACGCGCTCCGACGTGTGCCTGGGGGGGGGGGGGGTCAGAGGGCGGAGGAATCCAGGAGGATTTTGCCATGCATGGCTGTGGCTGCCATTTTGCTGTAGTCCTCATGGCTATCTGACCCTACTGGCAGATCTTCTTCTTCTTAATGAAGAAGAAGAAGTCCGCAATGGGAGCTGGGGGTTAAGGGCCTTGAACCGGTGACCTTACACTGCCCCCAGGTAAAGATACTTGTTATGAAGGTAATATCGCCACATCCAAACTTGACTGATGCTGATCAGATGGAGATCCACCTGAGAGAAGCATTTACGGGATGTATGGCGGATCCGCGAATCCCGGCGCCGGCCCCCCCAACCCTCACGACCCGCCCCCCCAGCTTGCCTCAGGATGTCCATCTCGTCCTTGAGACCCTGGGCCTCTTGGGCCAGGCTGGTCAGCTGCTCGTTGCGCTGCTGCAGGTCGGATACCTCGCGCTCTAGCAGCTCGGCGCCAGTCCGCAGGTCGTCCTTAGCGCTGTCCAGCCTGCGGTGGGGCAAATGCGGCCGTTAGCAGGCAAACGGCCAGCGACTGGGCCCTATCATTGGGAAAGGTGTTGAGGGGAGCCAATCAGTACTTCAGCAACTGTCACATGACATGTAACCAGTGGAAGATTCACCAACGGACCCGAAGGAAGTCCCCTCCGGCGCTTGGTGTGGAGAGGAGCCCGGCCATCGGTGGGCCCGCGGCTGCTCTGCGTTTCACCCTGTGGTTCCAGCCCACCTGAAGTTCTCCTCCTGCAGCTGCTCCATCTGGCTCTGCAGCAGCAACAGCTTCTTGCCCGTGATGGTGGACGAGGCATCCAGCGTGTCGCGGTGACTCAGCTGCTCCCTGAGGGAGCGCATCTCCGCCGACAGCGCGGCCTTCTCTTCGGCAGCAACTGACAGCTGTGGGGGGGGGGCAGACAGGCAGGGGGCAAAACAAAACTAAACTGGATGGAGGAATCTGGAAAACGAGTAAATATTACAGGGGCCACAGTGGTAAGCACAATCAAAGCACACCCCAGACGAGGTCCTGCCTCCGCTCTCTCCTCCTGCGGCTGTAAACAAACTCTCCAGACACTGCGTCTCCCATGAACCGCAAACAGCTGAAATGCACGCTGATTGACTCACAGCTCGCATTTATTCCCGGCAGCTGTGCTGGGAAAACTGCGGGGCAGACCCACCTCACTGCAAGGGACCAAATCTCCCCCGGAGCCCCGGGCCAGAGGGATCGCAACCAACCACTGCGAACGATGATAAGAGCAACAGTGCAGTGTCTGATCCTGCATCTCAATAAGAGAGCAAAGAATAACCCTCCATAAAGGGAGCTCGCTGGGCAGCCCCACTGGTACGCGGGGAATCCCAGACGTGACACACGCCGACCCCACAGACCAGATGACACACTCTCAGTCTGTCAGTCGGAGAGGCAGCTGCCCCAGACACGCTGCAACGACAGCTTCTCAGGCCGACAGTCACACCCCAATGTCAATGAACAAATGTGGATAAATAAGCATCTCAGAAACCAAACCATAGACGCTCCACTGAAGGCCTGTGAAACATGAGCTCGTGCCTAAAATGGCACCTCAGACACACCAGACACTGGACAGAGTATACAGTGGATTTGACGACGTGCTTCGCTCAGCTAAAATAAAAGTTCCTCAGAGACCTGAACGCTTCACTGTCTATGGCGAGATGTGGGGCCCCTGTGCCACCCGACAGTGCCCTCCTGGGGCCCCTCTCACGGCGCTGTGCCACTCGACAGTGCCCTCCTGGGGCCCCTCTCACGGCGCTGTGCCACCCGACAGTGCCCTCCTGGGGCCCCTTCTCCAACCCTCACCTGATGCTCCAAGTCTCGGCAACGCTTGCTCAAGTCCTCCTTCTCCTCCATCTCCTCACTGAGGAAGTAGTATTTCCGGGACTGAATAGAAGGGAGAGAGAAACAAGATGGAGAGAAACCAGATATACTTAACTGAAGGAGGTGAACCCAAACTGAGGAGTGACCACACACACACACACCCACCCACCCATAAGATAAACCAATCCAGATAAACACACAGGGCCGCACCTGGAAGTCAAAGTCTCCATAGGTCTCTGGGGTCCCCGGTTCCACAGTCTCCTTTGTCAAGAGCTGTAAGTCAGCAGCGAAACAAAAATGGCTCTGAGCACCGAGATAAAGGGAAAGAGGCAGCTCCGCTGCACCGGCACAACCAGTTCCTGACACGCCATTTATCATAAGAGTCTCAAGCCATTTGCACTATCCTTAAAGTTTAAAAAGCTGACAGCACATGGGCTCCCAAGGAAGCATCTCCTGGGTACTGAGGACGAGGAACATCGTTGTCACAAACCAAGGGTTGGTTTATAAGTGCACTGGCTATGCAAAGGGCCACACGGCGCCCCCTGGCTGCGCGGAGATAACGGCACGCGCTCTCACCTCCTGAATGGAAGCCATGAGGACGTGCTGCACCGACTCCTCCAGGGTCACTATCTGTTGGATGTGTTCTGAGGGCAGGAGAAAGAGGGCAGCGGTGATACAGAGCGGCCCCTGGGGAAGGGAGGGGCCGCCGGCTGGGCACCTCCTCCGGCTCAACAGGGTCTCTGGCCCGGGGGGCGGGGGGGTCCCATCATGCTTTGAACCGAACAATGCGGGGGCCAGCTTTCCTGTCACCACTCGGGACGTTCATTTTGTGCGGGGATCGTTTCCCGCTGACTACTGCAGAGTCCATAATGAACAGAGAGTCCCGAGCTTTGGAGATAAGTACTCGAAAAACAGCAGCAACCCACACGCCCACCCCGAACACTCTGCTGTGATCACCAACAGACATCTGACAATCAGAACATGACAATAGACCACAGACCATACCATTAAAACATGTAAGAATTGGTATATGTGATATTACATTAGATAAAGATACAGGCTTTAATGGTATATTATGAACCCTGAGGCATGTACCAGTCCTTACTTTTAATAATCTGTAGACAGGCAGTCCCCAGGTTAAAAATGTCCGACTTACGGACAACTCATACTCACAAACGGACTGCCATAAAGCCTGTTATATTGAAAACTCAGGCCGGATACGATGGTTTGTAATAGTGAATGCCCGCACTGCTTTGTGACGCTCGTGAAAACACTGCACGACTTTGGTGGCTTGTCAGCTCGAGGTACAGTGCAGTACTGTATGTAGTTACTCTTGTTATTACAGTATTGAGTATTACGTTTAAGATGTTTTACTGTATTTGGAAGCGTTTCATCTGCTTAGGAGGGTCAAATATATACTACATACGAAGATAAACATTTCACTGATGCTAAATAAGAAACTGGATGTACTCATTTCGATTTATATACAAATTCGACTTGGAGAACAGATCTTGTTTGTACTGTGGAGTTTAGAAAACAGTCCAGCTGCCAGCTCAGATTAATCCTTAGAAAAGCTATAATGCCTAAATTATGTCCGTATTGTAATCACAAATGTAGAATAAAAGGAAAGATATTGAGAGGATTAGAAGCCTGAGACTGTGTGTATGTGAGGGAGAATGGGTAAGAAAATAATTATGCTCTTTGAAAGTAAAATGCAGCACCACTGAGCTCAGGATCGACGGCATCTTGGGTGGCGACCAATCCAAGCAAAGACAGCCAGCCAATAGCAGGCCAGTGATGAAGCCTGGCTCACAGATCAGATCTACAGACAGCCAAGTGAAACAAGTACAAAACTGATGTGGATCAGTAAGAGAGTACACAGCTGTCACACTTTGACACAAATAGGATATTGCAGCCAAAGACACAGCGGAATGTATGCCTGGAGAAACACTGTCTAGTCTGTTGAATTCTGTATGCTGCTACTGCGAACTGATGGGAAAAGTAGGACATAGAGAAAAATCACAAGTTCATCAGGTGCATCCCTTAATAGCAGCACGGTACCCATTTGTGCGTGAATTTTTTTTCAGAAGAAAAAAAAAAAAAATGCCACAAAGCTGACTGTCCACGAACAGCTCCACAGCCATGAAGCTGAATTCAGCTTAAAGAAGCAGCCAGGCCAGACTCCAGATCGCAATCTAACTGTGAGGTGGCAAGGAACCAGCAGAGTAGAGTAGAGAATCAGGACAAGCCAACTCTGCACATCTGACACTTTGCTGAAGCCAGGTCTGAAGAAACTGTTGACCTTAGATCCAAATGTGTTCAACAAGATTTGAAAGACACCAATAATATTTTGTGCATTCAAGGCAAGTATATTAATTTTATATAAAAGAGCTCATCATCATCGCTCACCTTGCTTCTTCTCACAGCTGACAGCACAGCCCAGAACAAGCTGCACCAACTTCGCCAATTCAATCACGTCTCCCATCTCTCCAATGAGATTGACATCAGGCAGGTGCTCATCTGACACTTGCTGACCCAACACCTACACAGGGGAAGGAGAAGGCAGGCTGGAGGTGACAGTAGGGAAACGCTGGTGTGTGTCCAGCAAGCTGTTTCTCTTTGCTAAGGTTTTATGCTGCAGATAGCAGTGTGACTCACATCGTGGTAATACTCCAGCATACTCTGAAGGATCTTCTTTAGATTGCTAACCTGTTGAAATATTCAAATTCAGTGAATGCTTACTTTCCAAACAAGAGGCGAAAGATCATTGGTATTGCAGGGCAGCTGGCTGCCCAATTGGAATTCAGAGACTCGGACGACTGCTGGACATGTGACCCGTTATCCGTTGCCCGTACCTTCAGTCGCCAGTTGGTCCCCCTTTCGTCCTTGATCCTGCCGACCCATGTCTCGTTGAACCAGGATGAGTCTCTGATGCAATGAGAAAGACCCCATGGGCACCACAAACAAGACATTTCACATTACAAAACTAAATAAAATCCCGTTAGTTTGGAACAGCAGCCTGGAATACAGGCATGAGTTAAGTAATATGATGCCAGCATTAGAGGGGAGGGAGAGACATAATCTGTAAACTTCCATATAACCTCAGAGTGTGAAAACATTGGTCATACACTGACATTAACAAAATCTGTCAGATTTTTGAGCATCAGTCAATTTTCCTACGAACAAACAACAGAGGATCCTGCCATCTGATGACGTAACAACATGATGGGCCTATGGCCAGACCAGAATGTTCCCTTCGATGGTATTCTATAAAAACCACGGCAACACTCACATGGTCACTCTGTGCATCAAGCCAAGACTCAAATGGCAATCAAATACCGCTTGGAGCGTCATAGCAAAATAACAGGAACATCGGAAAGACATCCTCCGAATGGAAACCATGGGTTAGAGGCTCCGTACCACTTTAAATCATGCTTGCTGCATCTCAGACCTAAAGAACTGCCGTCCCCCTGTCATGTTGGGTTAACACCTCAACAAACAAGTGGGACGAAATGACATCACTCTGCTTAATGCTGCAACGAGTATATTGGAGAAACGAGGGTTTAACTATGAATTGATATTTTCAAAAGCAGAACTTTCCAAGCAGAATAAGCTTTTTAAAAAGTTGCAAATCATTTCTTTGAATCTATGACAGAAAGAAACAAACTGTCCCATCTATGTATCCATTCACACCGCTTAGCTATGCAGTCAGGGATTAAACATGACAGGGCAAGACCTGTATATGAGATTTGTGGCTGGGACAACAGCTAAGAGACACATTTAAATATACTAAGAGGAATGACCATTCGTTTTGTTCCAATAATTCTGAAGAGCATAGAGACCCAGGGAAAGCGGTCTACACTTGCAGGACACCTTACTTATGCACAATTTTTTGACCCTCATAAGGGCTGCGGTTGGTCATCCTTCCTAGATCTTTATACATTCCAGTGTGGCACCATAAGTAACTGAAAGCCTGAATTATGGGTATCCAAATCGAAAAAATAAACTAATGACCCAATTAAACAAGGAGTCCCACATTAGGAATGTGGTCTGAATCGCCATCCTTCTTCCACACAGAAAGTACTAGTTGACTACAGATCGGGGAGTTGCCTTTTTTAAAATGATTTTATTCATGAGCAACTTGAAACCTGCAGGAGTAGAAGCTGTTTGGTCAAAGGTAGTATCATGACGGCGGGGTCCTTACATGCTGTGTAGGGCATGAGCGATAGCCACCCCATTGGTCAGGTCCGCCTTGCTGGCGCAGGAAGGGGCTTGAAATGTCTGCAGCTGAGAGAAGAGACGGGTGACGGGTACAGCGCCGACACGGCTGCTCTTTGGTCTATACGTGTGCTTACAGTAGGTGAACAGCGTAACTTTAGTGGGACGCTGACAGGTAGTCTGGGAGTTTATAAACCAGTGATCATTGATGGGCTGTAAAGCCACTTAAATCAAATGATTGTTTTGCAGGAATGAAGCTGACTTCTCACCGAAGTAAAGGTTATTCGGGGCTTATGGGCAGATATGCAGCACATACGATCGTGACCGAACCTTGAACATTTAAAGTGGATGGTTTTGGGGGGGGGGGGGGAGGGACCCTTCCACAAACTACAACTACAAGTTACACGTAGTCGCAACAGATATGGGGTAAAACACCTGATGTGGATTTTCCCTCAGACATCAGAGACTTCAGATTTTAAAAAGCGGCCCAACTCTGTCAACAACCAAACGAGACGGTTCGTGGCAGAGTTCACCTGTTTCACCCGGAAAGTAGCCAAATAACATTCCGGGGTAGTAAACAAAAAAATGACGCTGACAAAAATAAAAATACGTCACGCCAAACACTTACCCAGCTTAACAACGAGTCGCAAAGCTCAGCTTTATCTAAACTCATCGTCGTCCTTGTGAAACCTGGCTGCCTGTTTCGCCAAAGCGGCCGAGTCGCGCTCTCGGTTATCGGACACGGCCTCCGAGCTCCCGGCTTTAACTCTCGCGTTTTTCCGCCGGCGGATCCGTACGTGTAGAAAATGCAGTCGGGTCGCCATAGCAACATGTCAACAAGAGGTGACCGTATGTGTGCCTGCTTAAAATTAACAACAATTACTAATCATAATTTCGTCTTTGTTGCAAAAGAGATCACATGTAGTCTATTTATTATTTGTATCGAAATGGTTTTTAAAAATATTTTAACGTCAAGCCTAACGACAGATTTTAAAATACTTGTTTAATATAGAAATTTCGCAAAATGCATAGTAGTGCAGAGGTCTGCAGCTATTTCTCCCCAAGGGACAAATTACATCAGCGACACAAAGCCAAGGTTCACTGCTTCTGAAAAAAATGCCGGCCGGGGTGGTCCCCCGATGATACAATTCGCTGAGCAGGGGGGGGTGACAAAAATTTCCCGTCCGGAGGGGGAGTCCCCCAGCGATAACATTCGCCGTCCGGGGAGGGGTCCCCCGACGATAACACTTGGAAAATTTGGGTGAATCAATCGCGGTCCGGATTCAGTTATGTTTCGGTGTAAATGCCGACCGGTGTCCGCCAGTTGGTGACCACAGTTATAGCGGTGTACCTAGTTATAGTGAGCCGAAAGTGAACTAGTTCGAAGGGACACTTTTGAGTAAAAGACATTTTAAAATGCAAAATCACACTCGAAAATTCCAATGACTTTGACTGCAAAATGTGTGAAAAACTACAAAGCGTTTTTAAAAGGAATGAAAGTTTGAATGTGGTTTCTTTAAACTGCTTTCAGCGTCAATGCCATGTGAGATAAATCTGCTTATGTGTACAGCCTGTGCGACGCGGTCAGAATACTCTTCCAATTAATAACGAGCCTAATGTGGTTGAAGCTCCATTTCCTAGAAAAAAAAACAAAGCAGTTCGTGATGATGGTGCAGCATCTGCGCACCCATACCTTTAATATCAGAGATAGATATTTAATATCAGAGTCATGGCCGAAATTATCGCCCCCCCCCCCCCTGGAATTTTTCCAGAAAATGCACCATTTCTCCCAGAAAATTGTTGCATATACAAATGTTTTGGTATACAAGTCTTTATTTCCTTTATGTGCATTGGATCAACACAAAACAGCCAAATTTGATATCATGTCACACAGAGCTCTAAAAATGGTCCAGACAAAATTATTGGCACCTTTTCAAAATTGTGGGTGAATCATTTTATTTCAAGCATATGATGCTCGTTCAAACTCGCCTGTAGCAAGAAACAGGTGCTGGAAATATAGAAATCACACCTGAAGTCAGTTAAAATGGAGAAAAGTTGACTCAACCTTTCTGTTGTGTCTCTGTGTGCGCCACACTAAGCATGGAGAACAGAAAGAAGAGCATAGAATTGTCTGAGGACTAGAATTGTGGGAAAATATCAACAATCTCAAGGCTACAAGTCCATCTCCAGAGATCTTCATTTTACTTTGTCCACCGTGCGCAACATAATCAAGAAGTTTACAACACATGGCACTATAGCCAATCTCCCTGGACGTGGACGGAATAGAAAAATTGATAAAAGACTGTGATGCAGGATGGTCCGAATGGTGGATAAACAGCCCCAATCAACTTTGAACATATTCAAGCTGTTCTGCAGATTCAGGATATAACAGTGTCAGCTTGAACTATCCATCGACATGTGAACTAAATGAAACGCTATGGTAGGAGACCCAGGAGGACCCCACTGCTGACACAGAAACATAAAAAAACCAGACTGGAGTTTGCCAAAATGTACTTGAGGAAGCCAAAATCCTTCTGGGAGACAGATGAGACCAAGGTAGAGCTTTTTCTTAAAGCTCATCATTCTGCTGTTTACAGAAAACGGAATGAGGCCTATGAAGAAAAGAACACAGTACTTTGGGGCGCAATGTAAGACCCACTGTCAGAAAGCTGGGTCTGCGTCAGAGGTCATGGGTGTTCCAGCAGGACAATGACCCCAAACATTCCTCTAAAAGCACCCAGAAATGGTTGAAGACAAAGCACCGGAGAGTTCTGAAGTGGCCAGCAATGAGTCCAGATCTAAATCCGCTTGCACTTTGCGATCTCAAGTTTGCAGTTGGGAGAAGACACCTTTCAAATCTGAGACCATGAGCAGTTTGCAAAAGAAGAGTGGTTGAAAATTCCATTTGAGAGGTATGACAATCTTGTTGATGGTTATAGGAAACGATTGGTTCCAGTTATTTTTTTCCAAAGGGCGTGCAACCAAATATTAAGTTGAGGGTGCCAATAATTTTGTCTAGCCCAGTTTTTTAGTTTTGTGTGAAATGATGTCAAATACGTGCGACAATCGATTGTGGTAACATTGTGAATGCGTACTTATTTTATATGCATTTGCGCTTATTTGAAAACAAAATATGATGCATTTTAATCTATATATGCTAACTCTACTTCATTTGCGCTATACAGGTTAAAATGCAATGTATTTTCTTGTCATAGCAGCGCAAATGCACATAAAATAAGTACGCATTTGCGCATTTACAAACAATCGATTATCGCACGTATCGGTTTTAAAGGTGAATGCGTACTTGCGTATACCATGCAGTTAAGTGCACCCCTGCTCATCCATACCCCATATATAGGCCTATTCCTCTATAGCTCTATTTTTGAAGAAAACAGGCTGTTATTGATTAAAATAATCCGTTAGTTTCTGAGCATTTAATTTGTGTTAAAATTATTACAATGACCTTGGGCATTAATTAAATAATATAGGCTATACGATGTGTAGCTGTATGACTGCTGTGGTGCTTCTGAGAACCTCAGAGGCAATAAAAACGAAAAAATACCAGCAATTAAAGCCAAATATTCTCTGATAATTCTATGGAAACATCTTAATAAAGAAAGCACTATAATTTCCGAAGTTCCCCAGTTCTGCAGAAGACCGAGTCTCCGCTAACCTATAAACTGTGACCACAGAATCGCTCTGTGGGCAGCATCCTACTGAAAATTGAAACCAGCCTCAGAGATGGATGAAAACGCGCAAACGCAGACAAGAGAAAGAGATACAGGAGTGATAAAGGTGGTGAAATGAGAATGAAGGGGGGAGGGGGGGGTACTCTCACTGTCCAGAAGGAGTCCCCGTTTAACCAGAACACGCTGTGGTGATGATTCCTGTCAGTGGATAGCCTGCATGATGCGAAACCCGCCTCCCACAGTTACAGCGTCGCTACAGCCCATCTTAAAATAGGTTACTTCAGAGAAGCTTAACAAGAAGTATATAACAAGAAGCCTCTTCTCAGAACAAGCGATTGGAACATGATTATTACTATGCGCGATATTTAAAAGAATTCACTTAATTCATTCACTTACTTGACAAATTTGAACTTCGTAATTTTTTTTTTTAATTGTAAGCTAATGTACAGTACATATTGTAGTACTTTAAAATAAACTAGTAAAAAGTTCCGTAGCAGTTAAGTGACTAGATTTGAGTCACATAACTACACGAAAATCATAAGACTCATCTACAGTTTTTCTCACGTCCAGAACTTGAATCGTTTCAGTTACAAGGTCTTATTAACAAAGTGAACGAAATAGATACAGATTGCTTTCTAAATAAGTAATGCAACACTGTATATACTTATGTTAGTGGATAACAATAGTTTGTGGCTTTTTAACTTTCACTTTTCCAATTAGGATCATGGAGAACACATTTGATTGAAAAGTATTGCATTTTCTGCTCATTACGAAAAGCCTTGGAGAAAATGAACAACTCGAACGCGAGGGTACACAAAGCAACGTCACCTCCCGAAGATGGTGTCACGGGTCACTTTAAGGCATAATCTCAGCATTAAGGTAAATAATTAGCCAGATGCAAACTGGTTATACCGAATACGCCTATAAGACGAGTACCGGAGTGGTTTTAAATTAATCTTATATAAGATGATATTCACCATTGGAACGGCTTCATGGCTACTCCTCCTTTTCATCCAATTTTAATCGCACCAAAATGCCCTGATGCAGACACTGACTAATTTGTGAGATTTAGTTGACACGGTGCCGCGTAGGAGAAAGGACGTTTCTCAGCTATCTCACGGTTCGGTGGTGGAGGGGGAGGGACGTAGTTCATAAATCCATACCTACAGGCACGTACACGATGAAGACTGATGCTTGTGAATATTACTGTATGATTCCTAAGGATGCAGAGGACGTTACCCAACCGATCAAGCCCATAACTAGAAATGAATTTCGAGAGGGGTCCAGCAAATTTCGAGGGGAGTTCAGTTCTCTTATTTTCCCACCTGCAGTTTTATCACGTGGCTGCGTGCCGCTACATTATTTCGATGTCGAACAGTTTACAGTTACTGATTTGTAACGTTTTTATATTATGCATATTATTTATTTCACAGAACTGCAAAATTCGTAGGACGAAAACTGTTCACAACTAAGACTGTTTTAAACTAAAAAGGCTAGTATTCGAACTGTTTTATTTGACCACTTTTTTGAATAATAGGACATTTGGAAACGTGCTACGGGAGTGTCACTATGCTATCCTGGGATGAGCACGTGCAACGTGTATCACTCACCCAGGTTATAGCAATATGGCAGAATTTCGAAAGACTGCATCCGTAGGCTAGAGAGCATATATGCTTATGAACAGAAGTAAGTCTATACCTCCAGAAAGATCTATTACAGATCTTAGAGAAACACAAAAACTCCTAATTAAAACTTTTTAAAAGCTATTTCTCTTTTAAACACTAGATGGCACGTGAGGATAGAGAGTGCTTATCTTACTGTCTACGTTGAGTTGTTGGCTATCCAAAAGCCTAATAAACACTATGGCGTTTTGGACACATCAAACACATAGAGTAATAATAGTATTTTCCACTATTGTATTTTCCACTACTGTCTTGCTCATTTATTGAATCTGACTCTAGCGTCTTTCATAAATGACAAAATATACTGCAGCACCGTGTTTACTTGTGGTCTTGTGGTTTTAAAACTAAATCTCTGTGTCACATGACACACGAGTGCCACGTAAAAAGAATAATGTAGTGGCAACTATAACACCTTCAAAACAAATTCGTAATCCACTTCTCATACAAAATGCTTCAATGTAAACAAATAATATAGTCATGACAGATAAAATAATAAATGAATAAAAAAAAACAGGAGTTTGGCTGGTGTGGACCGGCACACGCCTCGGACCACCTCCGCATTCTCTTCTCTGGGTGCTGTGCCTGCTTCCTGTTAGCCGTCTCTCCTTGACCCTCGGGCTGCCGATCTCCTCCCTGAAGCATACCTTTGTGCCAGGCCGTCTGTGTCACTTCCTGTCTCTCCCACCTGGTCCAACAATCCGGTAATTGATGGCAGCCAGCTACTCTGAACCGGTTTGTCTGGCTATGGGACGGCTTCCTGAGCGCCTCAGCCTCTCAGAGTGTTTGCACACATCTGCAGCTTCTGTTTATACAAGACTGGCACAAACGTCCTGCCAGGCACCTCTGCCTGCTCCCTTCAGTGGTACACATGGACACGCAGTCGGCCACTATTGCTGTGCTGTTTACCAGCACAGGTCATCTCTGTCTCAATTTAAAATGGTTCACCTTAATTATATGGCTTCATATGACTTGTTTTCCCTCCATCCAAGCCTGAATCACTCTCTCACTCTCTCTCTCTCTGTGTACGGCTTGCCTCTTACCCAGGCACTTAACTTCCTGTGAAAGGCAGGGGGATGGAATGGGCACGTGTGTCTGGATGTGTGAGGGGCTGCAGCTACTGGGTAGTGCTGGTTTGGAGAGCGGGAGCAGGGAGGAGGCAGGAAGGAGACAGCCTTAGTCACGCAGAGAGAGGGAAGGGCCTACTGACTAACAATCACTGAGTGTGTGGTAGAGGTAGGGTGACAGTGGGGGTGGATGAACAGGGGGGAGTTGACTGGTCCAAAGTAGTGGCTATTTTTAAAACATCCCTAACCCAATTCCTCTTTCTTTTATCTTTCCACAGATGTGCTTCCTTCCTGAAATTAAAAGTAGCGCTTCTCCTCTATACTATGGCTCCTTGCTGACACACATTTTCTCGAGGGTGGGGTTCCGTAATGTTGGGTAAGTGTCCATTTTTATTTTGGGATGTCTGCAGCCTGAATGATGGTGCCGAAAAGAATTTAGCTCTTTCTCCCTTTGGACATTTAACAGTATTTTCTTCTTAAATTTTTACCTCCAAAGATAACGTCATATATCGAAGGCACTGGTTCGTGGCGCTTTGGATGCGTAGCTATGAGTTGGCATCAACCAAAAGGTGCTGCTCGCAAAACCTCTCTCTGTCTACTGTTATCTTTAAATCAGAAATCTGCTCCACGCTGGTTACACCCGGTTCCTCCGACTGCGACCTGGGGGCAAAACGGCGCACTGTGCCTTTAAACAAAGAATGCGAGCGATGCACCACAGCGCCTAGGCAACGGGTGCTGGGGCCTGCAGGAATGTTGGCAGCCATTCGATTTCCTGCAGTCCTGTCCCAGGTGTTTAAGCTCCGGGAAAACAAACAGAAAGACAGAGAGAGGGAGAAAGAGAGAGAGAGAAAAAACCAAAAGCGACAGAGCAGAAGAGACAGACAGACAGGGAATGACGGAGATAGAGACGATTTCGGCAAAAATCCCAGACGTGAGGTCATTTTCTGGCACAGCAAAAAGCTGAAACGACCGACCACTGGGCCAGTGAAAGAGGAAAACGTAACAATCTCTGTCCTGCTCTGTTTATTCCGAGGTTTTTTATTGCAGACCACTGACAGTCTCACCCTACAGTAACTAAACGCCTGTAACCCAGCTGGAAGGCAGGAGGTTACTGAGAAACCCCCACCTGTAAAATCTAGTCAAGGCTGCTCCCTTCCCTCCGCACAAATCCTGACAGGACATCTTGTAAAGGGTGTCATTGAATAACATCTACTTCAATAACGTCGCCTTCGGTCTGCCACATTCATCTGGCACGGAGGTTACTTCCTGACACCCTGAGTAAGTAAAGGCTTTCATTTCACGGAAATAAAGTGCTGACCTTGCCGGGAGGGTAGGCTATGGATGGACTTTGCCGAAGGCAGCGGCCGCGGACGAGCGGGATGTTTCACAACGGCCCGACGGAGGAGGAACCCAGAACGGTTGCTCAAGCATAAGCCCAATCCTACAGACCTACAGGGTCAGTGAGCACACCCTTATCTTATGAAAGTCCTTCTGTGTTGTTACTTCGCACTGTTGCTCAATGTCCTACCAGTACAGACATCTCTGTGAAGACCTGATTTCCAGGCCAACCAGTAGTAAAGAGCTGAAGGACATGTGAATATCAGAGATTCTGAATCAATAACGACCATGCTTCAGTAGGTAGTTGATACCTAACCAGAATTGATCCAGTGATATTTCTGAAATATATTTTAAATATAAATTGATGTATATCACTGTAAAATCAGTCATTCTTCTTTTTATGTACATTCAGTTCAGAAATAATTGTATACTCTGTTCTCAGGTCCAATCTCTTGGCTCTGGTCACGGATCTGAGGTACGTGTCAATTCTTTTGTTAAAAGCACTCAAGGGACACAGGCTAAACCAATATCCTTCTGTATAATTCATTGCCACCTCGATTGGCACTGCCCATTACATGCCATGTGGATCATCACGTGACACCTGCGGCTGACGAATGAGCCGAGAGAAACAGGCAAGAAACACAGAAACAATGTTGCAGGTAGAAGTTTCTGTGGAACTGCTATTGTTCCCACTATTGTCTAAGTCTTTGTTTTGGGAACACAGGGAGTAGCATGGATGGCCATTGGAAGTTTCCAGAAGTTTCTGCCAAAGGGCGGCGATGGATGTTTAAAGGGCACAGAAATGGTGCAAAGATGGAAGGAGAGTGAGAGGCGGAGGCAGGATGCAGAAACACGGCCACGTGCGGCACGGGGGCCATGGGACCCCCTTCGGCGTGTCTCTCTGGCGACAGTCAACCAGAGCTAACGGGAGCTGACAGAAGCGGCTGGCCCCTGTCCCCTTCCTGATTGTGCCATTTAGTGTGAAGCTGTCACTCTGGGGCTTGTGCAGGGGACACAGGGTGACCTAACCCCAGGACAGAAGAAGCAAATGCTGAAGTCTGGAAAAAAAAGAGCATTTCTCCTGGTTATTATCTGCGTGTTTGCATTCATCAGCAATCTTCTCATTAATGCTAGCTAGCTTGACAATGACATACACCAGCTACACATACATACAGCTTTAACCCTCTGTGCTTACAGTATTTATATGAAATATAATTTTTTTACAGTTCTTCTTCCATATATAACACAATTTTTGTTTTCCTTTAAAAAGCAAAGCCCATCAAGGCTCTTTTCAAGCTCTTTTCTCAATAAGACATGAGAAAGTCTTGAAGATGCCACACTTCAGACATCGCTGCATATTAACCATTCATATTTGCTTAAAAAAGAAAAACATGAAGCATTTTCATATTAGTGTTATTTTCGAGGACATCCCACAATTGATGAGAAGACATTTTAATGGTATTGTTGGGACCTGGGGAAAAAAACAAAACCAATAACCGTCACATTAATCTGACAAGCATCACTTAAATGGTAAATCGCTTATGATAATATGTTTGCCCAGGGCGAATTTAGAAACGAAAAGTCAATAACAGGCAATAGATGAACTTTAGCCGTAGCGCTAAATGCCACGGGACGACATGCTGATATTTAACGAAGGTAAAGAGAATTAAATGAGCCTGAAATCCTCAGAACACGTGCACGCCGTCCGTGAATAAAAGGCGCAGCGCGGCGACTCCCAGGGCGGAGCAGAAACTGGACCCCACCCCGCACGTGAAGCGGGCTGCGCCGTGCCAAACAGCGGGGAGCAGCGGCGCACTCCTTCCAGGTGAAACCGCAGCGATAGGTGTTACCTGCAGGTTCCGTGTCCCGTGACAGCGGGTTGGGCCGCATGCTCCGGCTTGCCTGCGAAGTTCGGTACGGGGGGGGCACGATGCGACGTGCGATCAAAAGGGACGTTCCCGGCGCCATCATCCTTAGCTCCGTTTTTATAGCAATAATAACTATTCTTTTAATAAGACCTATTATTATTACCGAAAAGACCCGACTGAAGTTCTATCTGATAACAGAAAAAATGCTACAGGGCTCTTCCTAGGACTCAGGTCTACAGCTCTGGTTCCTTTGTAAATAAACGTAGTCAATGAATTTAATCAAAATATAAACCCTTTACTAATTTAGAAAGTGCTGGTATATTACCATGGGGCTTATCTGTACCTGTTAGTGTCTTTCAAGCACCGTTACTGTACTTTATGTGATGAAGCCTTATAAAAACTGTCAGGTGCTTTGAGTAAAAATGTCAGCTTTTGCAGTGAAACACATTTCCTTTTTAGTAATCGACGTGCTTAATTTGTGTGTTTACAACAGACTCCATGAGACAGGAGGACAGCTGAAGGAGGCTAATTCTGTTCTCTAATACCACACCTCCCCCCCTAAGGCCTGTTGTCGCATTGTCTTCATTTTTGAGCACTCTCTTTGCATAAAGCCTTGACTTTATCCAAAGCGTCTCCTGTGTCCTTCCTCCCAGCAAGGATGGTATCGTGACCTGGGGCATCTGGGCCGGTCTTCCGCAAACACGCACACGATGCCGACAGCGCAAGCTTTGGCCTTGTTCCATCCACGGGGGTGCTGTCTTGCCCCGTAAAATCTTAAAGGAGGGGTGCACGCATCAGGGACGACCCAGGCAAACGACACAAAGGCATGCTGGGTAACTCGCTGGGCGGTGAGCGGCCCAGCAGGCTAAGCCTCCGTACCTGTGATCGGAAGGTCACCAGTTTGAGATCGATTTTTGTCAGAATAGTCACAGGTCTGTGGGCCCTTGAGCGAGGCCCTTAACCCCCAGCTCCAGGGGCCCCGCTGCAGGTGGCTGCCCTTCGCTGCCAAGTGTGCTGTCACCTACACATGTGTCATGGAATGGAAGACGGGGTAGGGAAAAAGAGAATTTGCCCAGAGGGATCAATAGAAGTGTCATTATTGTTATTATTCACGTCATGGGGAGACTTCTGTTTGTGCCTTGTGGGGACCCTCATCATACTGGTGTACAGAGCACGTTTCTCGTCTCTTCAAACACGTACAGACTGGGGTGACCGCCAACTGGATAACTGCCGAAAGACTTTAATTGGAGGGGTTAATCTCTGCAGTCAACAAGTTCCTGGCTGAGGAAGCTATACACCCTCGGCAGAGGAATGTTCCGGCTGACTCAGGTATCCCGAGGTTTTTTCCGAAGCTCTTTTCCCTGGGATTTCTTAACTCTCTCGGTGCTCGGTCACCCCCGGTGTCACAGGTACTCCTGCCACCCATGTCCTCCAGCCACTGGGGCAGAACCTGTACCTGTTGTGCTCTGGACTCCGTATGACCTGATCCGGGCGGGACCGAGCTCAAAGCCTCAGCGGTGGGAGGAGGAAGCTGGCGTTTTATTTGAGGATGGGAGTGGAGACAGGTTTAACTAAACGGATTAAAGGACAGTCACAGAGGAGTCAGTGAAGGGGACTGCGGCTGGGTCAAGGAGGGGCTGAGAGGCCGGGCATCGGGTCACGGGTGCAATTACCGTGTGTGGAAAAACAAGAACTCTGAGATTTTATATCACGACCGCGAATAGGACCTCGCAGACAAGAATGAATGTGCTCCCTCAATCTTAGGGAGTCCTTGGGACGTTCTGACTAACCTCTTCACAGGGTAACGGGATGTTCCGTGTAAACCCCCACGCTGCTACATTTAGGCCTATGTTCCTCATAAATAAGATAAGATATACTTCATAGACCCCAGGAGGAAATTCGTTTGCATACAGCAATGAGGTACATAAAGTATGGCGTGGTTGTTAGTTAGTTAGAACTGTAACCTCACACCTCTGTGGCTATGGGTTTGATTCCCATTCCCAGTTCTTTAAATCTGGAGTATGTGTGATTCAGCGGGTCAGAGTGCCTGTGATCAGACGGTCATTGGTTTGAATCCCAGAATCGTCAGAGTGATGTCACTGTTGGGCCTGTGAGGGACTCTGTGACCCCATCTTCACTCAAAAATGTACCTTGGCATCTGCTGCATGAATAAATGTAAAAAAGTGGATAGATACAAACACCCCCACCCGCTCTTGAGATCTGACCTTCCACGTGTTTCCCAGTTACAGCCCCTTCACACACGCACAGCTGTCCCACCTTCAACTGACCCTCTTGTGATGTAACGGCTGCTACCATATTCCGTTAGTCACAGATTACAGCACAGGCCAGACGCGGTCTGGATGCTGCAGACGCCGCTTATCATCCTGCCACGGGCACCTGCTGAGAGAATCTCAGAGGTCTCCGCTCAAAGCTTCGTGAGGCAGCCTGAAAAAGCGATATAATCGAGTCATTCCACCGGGATGGCAGACCGGATCGGCCCACGATGACGGGGAACGGCGCTGAGGACGGTGCAGCGCAGCCAAATCTGGACATATTAGATAAAGAAAGTTACATTAAATTACAGAATGGGATTTCAAAACACAAACATCGTAAGTACAGGAAGTTAGACTGGGGGGGGAGTTGGTATATCACATCTGGAAATTCACAGCGCCGATGACCTCAGGCAGCTTCCTAGTCACCCAGCGCACGCTTCACACCTTCTTCCCGGAGGCGTTGTGCCCCAGACACGGGCGTCGCCTTCCCATCATACCCTGCTGCACCTGGCTGCTCCCCGCGTCTGCTCCTATTGTCTCAGTGCAGGGGCATGTGGGGACAGTTACCAAGCCGCTGTGGGTTCCCTTTGGGGGGGTTCCCTTGGCACACCTGGCAGAGTGGGGCAGACAGCCGCGAACAGGGGAAGCACCGCAGAGTCTCACGGGCGATCGGGCATGAAGGCACAGGGGGGGGATTTACAAACACACTCAAGCAGGGGCGGTGAGCGGCTCAGTGGGCTGAGTCTCTGTGCCTGTGATCAGAAGATTGCTGGTTTGAGTCCCAGCCTCAGCAGAACAGTTACATGTTCATGGGCCCTTGAACAAGGTCCTTCACCCCCAGCTCCAGTGCTGCCTGTTGGCTCACCCTGCGCTGTGACCCCCCCCCCCCAAGCTGAGGTTGGCAAAGAGAAGCATTCCAATATACCTGTACTTGTGCAAAAGGTAAACAAAGCATGTTTCCTTATTGTTTGACATGCAATCAGAATTATAAGCACATGTTTAGCAGTGCACACTTGCATGTGTCTGCGCTATAAGCGTGCATGCGAATACACAAAAAAAGATAAACACACATGTACACTGGCTTGCTGGGTCATACGATGCTGTGCCTGCAATCAGAAGGACACAGGTTCAAATCCCAAGGTCCACAAAGTGATTTCACTGTTGGGCCCCAGATTGTGGCCCTTAACCCCCAGTTCCTCCATGGAACAGCTGACCCCCCATC